GAAAAAAGAAGTGGGCGCCGCTTGCCGCAGCAAGTCATTTGTCTCAAGCATCGGAGTTTGTATTATTTAAAATCGCGGCTGATGTACGAGAACAGATGTTGCACCCTCGAGACTTTTAGAAAAGAAGGATAATTTTCATTTTCCCCCCTTTTCAGATCTGCTCATACATATTATTGAACTTCGTTTCGTTCATTAATCTGAAGTAAGATAAATTTTCAAATGTTTTTAGCAAAACATAAAAAAAAAGCATAAAACATTCCATTTAAGTTTAAAAAAGACTCAATGCAAGATAATTAAATGTTATAATATTCATTTTCACTATTTTATTTTTACTAATTATATATTTTTATTTTCATTTATTTGGTTATTGAAATTATTTTTAATAAATAATTATTGAATCCTTCCAACATTCCAAAGGGATGTTTTTGTATTATCTTTTGATTAAAATAAATTTTAATATTAAATTTATACAAGGTGAAGTACCACATTGTATTTAACGTGGATAAATCATCTATTTATTTTACAAAACTGACTATTTCAATCATGAGACATAATTATGATCAAACAAGTTCCTAAAAATAAATAACAAACAAAAAATTATCTCGATTTCTCTTCAACAATTTAATTTGTTGAGACTGCAATTTGAATAATAAAGCAAATGCGATAAAAGCTTAAGTGCCGCGCTTTTAAGACGGTAATTCTGTGTCACCCGAAGGAAATAATTACAACGGCGATAAGAAGCCTTTTATAATCTCTAGGCGTTTTCTTAGAGAGAACTGGTGCGTTTTCCGACGCAACCATCACTCACCGTCCGCACCCTCTCACTTTCCGAGTGGAGCGAAAGGGGCACAGGTGGTCCACGAAGGCGCGCACCAGAGCAAAGGATGATGATAATGCAGCTCAAACAAAGCGACTCTCGAGGCCTCAAGCAGTTTAACTTCTTCTTGTGTCGCTGAGCAAACTCGCGCCAACATGAAAGGGAATCGCTAATTTTCCTTCTCTCTGTGCGCTAATTGCGTGCGTCGCGTTTCCCTCATTGCGATATATTGTGAATATTTCATCCGCTTTTGCAACTTCGACGCGAATAAGTCCAGACGCGACCTTTTTTTCCTTTAATTTGCGAACGCCTCGAGTGCAGCCGGGCGTGCAGGAAACGGGCCCAATTTGCACACCAAAAGCGAGCGCCCCGGGCAAAGTAGCAGTATAATGTGGGAGTAAAGTTGAAAGTTGTTTCTTCTGAGACGCATAATATACGGCGATACTTGTTTCGTTTGTGGCTAAACTTTGCTGAGGAAAAACCCTGAGCGTGAAGTTTTACTGTAAATTTTATCAAGACCAAGCAGTACTTTTAAGTTAATTTTCGTTTTATGTTAATCATGTTTCGTAGTACAAAATTTTTAATTAACAAGTTCAAAGTAATATACTAAATTTTAATTTATTACTTTTATTAACTTTTGCTCACATTTGTTTTAAATAAAGTTAAACGAAATTTAAATTGTATTTTTTATTTTTAACATTTAATTTTATTATTTAACAATAATTTTATATTTTATTTGTAATATATTTTATTTCATTTACAACTTTTAACTTTTAATGTATATTGTTTAATTGTTCATGTTTTAATTTTTTTATCGCTATTAGATAAATCTGCTTTGAGCTTGCATTTTATGAAATGAAATTAATCAACTCTAAATTTTTCAGCTTCACCAACCAATTTTAGAGAAATACTAATAATTAACGTAATAAAATAATCAAATATAATAGAACAATTCCTTTCGTTTCCAATGGATTCAAATATAATTAAAAAAATTGGCTATATAATACTTATTTTGTTACTGCATTGAAAAATTGAAATAGAGAAAATGGAGAGGATTGGTAACGACCTTTGAATACAAATAAAAACAAATTTAAAAAAATATATAATTTTTTTCAATACATTTCGTATTGAAGCTAATAGAGTCTTAGCTGCTTGCCTGAATAATTGCTGAGCTGAAAGTGCAATCATTGTAAATTCGCACCTGACGTAAGCTTCTTGACCTCGGAAGTGATTGTCGTGGACACGCGTGAAAGGGGTTGGCGAGCACTACGTGCACTCACTGCAGATGTTATCGCGCCGCAAAGAGTTTGCATATCACGTGCATTATGCAAATTGCCCTGCATTAGAGTGAAATGTTTGTATTCAAATGGCTTGTTTATGTTAACCGGGCGGGTTGACATGCTTTTCGGCAATTATGGTGTCATTTCGCTCGCGTCAAAATGAATGGCTTCGGACCGAGTTATGCGTTTGGGCGTGCATTTATTATATTGCCCGAAATTGATGGAAAATCGATCCCGCGAGAGCGCTTTTCACTTTCTGCAATTACTCGCCAGTGGAAATTGTTTGGACCAAGCTCAATTTTCTGCATGGACAGGTGGAAAGCAATTTATTTTGGTATAATTTATATTACAGTATTTTATGAGTAAAACAGAACTCCAGAAATTAATAACATTATTATTTATTTGAGATTGCAATTTATCATAATTATTTTAGGACCAATCCAAGCTAGTCAATACGTTCAAATTTTAAGTATTTGACATCAAATTAAAATTTATGAGCCATCAATTTTGTTATATAGCTTATTTTTCAAATTTATGCTAAATCTTCTTTGATAAAATTTGGTAAAAGCAGGATTATCATGAAATCTGGGTTCAATTTATAAAATAATTAAATAAAATATATATAAATTATACTTATAAAAAGAATAAGTCGAAAAAATTAAAATAATATATTATTTTAAATACTTTTATAAAACATGTAAACAAAATTATAATCAAAGAATAATTTAATAATCTTTAAAAATTTTGTAAATTTGTATTGTTTTGTGTTTGCCTCCTGAGAGTTCAGATAAAATTTTCAAACGGAAATATCTTTTAACGAGTTGAAAAAAAAATGGTGTCTGTCTAGTTTGTTTGGGTCGATGGTGCTGTCCGCACGCTATATAGTTTTTTATTTTATTTTTTGCCCATCAAAAATTCAATTGCACTACGGCTCCCCTGCCCAATATGCAATTAATGAGTCCAGCGCCAATTTTCCCTCGCAATTACCGTCCGTGCCGGCATCGCGGAACAAATACGGCTGCGAGCAATAGCACGGCCATAAAACGGGCAAATCCATTGACAAAAACCGCATATAACGCATTCATCCGGCGGCTTTCAGGTCGTAAAACCCTCTCATCAGAGGCCTGTCTAGATTTTACGGCCGTCGACGGAAAATATTGCAAACTTTTTATTGCGCGCAGGTGAAATTACGCGGAATTAGGAAAACAAGAAGTCCGTTGGTTTTTTTTTTCCACCAGAGCACTTATTGCGAAGCGGGACCGAAATTTATAATAATCCCGTGACCGTGCGCCGAAAATGTGTTCGTTAGGCGCAAATTTAAATTTAAAAATACACCCAGTGCCGCTAATTCGGGGCAGTTAATTTGGGGGCGATGAATTACAGCCAGTCAGAGGCGTAATAAAAGAATTTATTATACGAGAGGGGTGGAATTGCTCGCTGGAGTTGGATGCAGGTGGCCGGCGAAGAGCAGATGAAAAAGTTGCCAACACCGTCCCGGCCGCCACTTGGCCTTGCTCCAGCGCTGGAAGCGAGTCGACGACTCGATGATAAATCACCCCTCGAAATTAAACTTTTGCAAGCCAAAAAGCCGCTGCTTTTTTCGGGGGCGCCACGCAATTTTTCCGGAGATTAGAGATGAAGAGAGTCTTAGCGCCGCGATTGCACTCTTTTATCTGCTTAAAAATAATTTGATTCCATCACAGCCAAAATTCTTTGGATCATTCATCATTTTTTTTTTTTTTTAATATAACATTTATCAAAAATAAGACAAATTTAATAATCTTATTAAAAAAGGCAGATGAAAAAGAAATAATAGCTTTGAAAAAAAATCAATTGAAATAAAGCTTGTTAATTTGTTAATAATGTCAGGTTGTGTTTTTCTGTAATTTTTTGGTGAACACAACATTGTGTTTTGTCGTGTTGGCGTTTTTAAGTTCATTTCAGTTTTTTTGTTTTATTATTATTAATTTAACAACCCAAGGGAGAAAACCATAATGCACGGAAAACGAATTAACATGTCAAAATTTCAACTTTTAATTGAAATTCTAATAAAATAATTAAGATCTCAAATTAAAAGTTGAAATTTGGACATTTTAATTTGTTTTCCAAGCATTGCTTTCCTCGCTCAGTTTCTGAATCCACGTTGAATTTCTTTTGAAAAATTAAATAAAGCTATTTTCAATCATTTTGTGCAAATTTCTTTTCCATTTTTTTGATTGTCGGAAGCAAAATTTCCCAATTAATTTTGGTACATTTTGTTAATTTTAGTACAACACTTATTAAAAAAAACACGATTTTTTAAATTTGTTGAAAATTATTGGCAATTTTCATTTCATTTTTGTCTGCGGCAGCTACAAAATTGCGAATTAACAAAATTTATCATGAATGTTGGTGAGATTTGAGTTCTGCGATGGAAACACTCATTTTATTACAAAAGCAACAATATTATTTTTTGGTTGCAAAGTGTGTTTATTGATCGTATTAAGTCCTGCCCAAACACATCAAAAACGCTTCCAAAATTTTAAAAAATTATGAATCAAAATGAGAGGAAAATAATCTCTAATTAAAACAAACAAATCATTGTTCTTACATTAGACCGACACTGTTGTCCCAAATTTTAGATTCATCTCTTTGAGGAACATGCTTTTGACATTGTGCCCTGCTTTTTTATTTAATTAAAATTTAAAATGCACACATTATATTTTGTGACCATTTACAACTATAAAGTGATAAAACAAAATTTTATACCAAATGATATATTTTTTTTTAATTTTTAATTGTATGCACAAAAGTTTTTGTCCCAGTTTTGAAGTTAAAAAAAATATTGCGCCATCCGTCAAATTTTTCAACAATTTCTGAATAAAAAAATTAATGTAATTAATGAAAATTTTGAATTGTTTCAGATGCCGAGCACCAAAACGTGATTCGCCACAGAAACGGCCGAAGCCTGCGGACGGGCGACTCGAACCAGCTGAGCCCGGCTGTGGTTCAGCCGGCGATATTCGGCACCGAAAACTCGAGCGTCGTCACCGCCAGCCTCGGCAGCACCACGGTCCTTCCCTGCACTGTCAAAAAGTTTGGAAATGGAGTGGTAAGTCGCAAACAGCCACTTGACAACTCTTTAATTAAAGCTCGACCGCGCCGACTCGCTGTTCCGTTGTAATAAATTCATGGATATCTCTCGCGTCGCTCCCGAATTAAATAAAAACCAACCGCGCTGTGTTGAAATTTGCAACGCGATCTTGTCGGCGCACCGCCGAGAAAATAAATTGGGCAAGTTCTGCTGGTTTAGCGGCGCGGTTGCCACTCGCAAAATTCAAACAAAAAAGTTTTTGCAACCGAGGTGGGTTTTGGCCCGCATGGGGTGTTGAATTGCACAAATGTTTTTGTTGTGAAGTTGAAAAGTGCTTTTTATATTTTCAACTAAAAAATTGCGATGAAAAATGAGGAAATTGATAATAAATTCTTAAAAAAATTTAAAATTTGAAGGCTTAAATTAAATAATTTTATAATACACTTCAAATGAGGAGCAAAAAAGTTAACAATAATTTTAATATGGTGATTTGAATTTAAAAACGCTTTTCCTCGATGGGTTTTGTGAGTTGTTTTTTGTTTAAAAACAAAAATTTCCTGATCTACACGTTTCGGCTGCCATAATTCAAGAGCTGTGAAATCATTATTTTAAGAATTAGTAAAAAATCAAAATATTTTTTTTAAATACTTTTCTTAAATATTAACAATTATCAAAAAATATTCGAAGGAAAAGCCGATTTTAAATTCAAATCACTATGAAACAACTCTCGATTATGAAATCTTACCACAAAACTATATAATTATTTAAATTACCTCAACTTTAAAGTTATAATTCCATTCAAAAGTGTTTTCCAAATATGCAGTTATTTTTATTCAATTCAATCTTTTTTAACATTTTTTTCTAGATTTTCGTCGACTACGATGTTCTATTTATTTCATCAATACATTTTTTTTATCCACGTTTATGAGATCTTTATTGAAGAGAGATACTTTTCCTTTCTCTTTTCCGTCAAAACAAGGCATTTCATATAAGGGTAGGATCAAGTTTGCACGTCTTCTCAGTAAGAGGGTTTCTTTTTCCCTCACTCAATGATCGGCTGCATTTCGCAGACACTTCTTTGACAGTCTCTGCGGATTCTGTGTTGATCGCACACGCATACAAACCCGCCACGCACGCACTCCACCTCGGATACAATTCCGCCTGTCATGTCGCCCCCGAGTTCTCTCTTTTTTTTCTCACGGAGCACTACTGCCTCTTGCGTCTGTCAAGCTGTGTGTAGACCAATGTACTATTATGTACATATGTTTGTCGACGATGAGGTGGGCGGCGGCAGCCTCCGCGTGTGCCAGTTTGCAAAACTTGCGGACAGATGTTCGCAACAGGGGCGGATCTAACGATCATTCATTCATGTCGCGTCGTCTTTGTGGATTTCCTGCTTTCGTCTCTAAAAATACGGTGCTCTTTTGGCAGATGGCTCGGGAAATCTAGAGCGTCAGAAATTTCTGCAATATTATTTTCGTTAAATCGGTTAATTGACTTCTTTTTTGCAAAACTATACTTTAGTTCATTTTTAGGAACCTAAAAGCAACGAAACCACTTGAAACTGGAGTTAATATTTAATTTTTTAGTTTGAAATTTTTATTAAATGAGAAAATCTATATGATATGTGAAATAAATTGATTAAAAATGAGATTTTGATTGGTTTTTATTCAAGTTTTCAGTTTCAAAAACAACGTGAATTATGGAAATGAAAAGACAAAATATCTTTTAATATTTATTGCAATAATCAATTCACCTCAATGTATTAATTATTGCTGTTTATTGGTCCACATTGTTACATACATTCTTTACATATAATTTTTGAAAACGATTTATTAAAAAATTAAGAAATTGTCGGACAAAAGGGCACCTCCACAAAGAAATTTAAAGAATTGGTAAAAATAGGGTTTCAATTGATTTTATCTATCTTTTTGGGTAATTTAATAATCTGTCAATTTAATAATAAAATCAGATCTCGAGTTCTACAACAGCATTTTTTGTAACAATTGAAAAGTCTCGATAAGGAAATTATTAATTTAATATGCATACATTTTAATTATGTTCATCAATCTAAATTTTTTTGAAGAGATGATCATGAAAGTAAAGAAAACGGACTTTTCTTCATTGAATAAATTGTTCATATAATATTAAAAAAAAAAACCAATGGCTCTAGACCAGTTTTGGTAATAGTCTGCGACCCCATTGCATGAGCATTTATCAGGATATTTTATTTTATTTATTTTCATTGAAATGATCAAAGCACAATTTGATAGGAATTTAAATTTATGAAAGTGAATGTTTCAAAAAATTCTTGTTTTACATTGTCAGCGAGCAACGCTTTTGCTCATGCAATAGGGTCACAGACTGGTTGAGTGATTTTTTTTTTTTTTTTAGAATAAATGAACAATTTTTTAACGAGGAAAGGTTCATATTCTTCAATTTCATGATCGTCTTCTCTAATGTCAATTTCTTCAAACAAATTTAAGTTAATGTTAATAATTAAAATATTGTAGATGATTTATATATCCTAATTGAGACATTACAACTCAAGTCTTTCAGAAAAACATGCTATTGTATGATAGTTTGTGTTAAAAATGACGAATAATTAATGAACTACCATAAATTATTTATAAATAAAATCCTTTTAAAACTCATATCAAATATTCTTCACATTTCTTTGTTTTCTACAGTAAAAGTGATGATGATAATAATAATAAATATTATCGAATAACTCAAAATATTCAATATATCACAAAATGTTTTGAATTAATAAGCTTTAATCATATTAATTTATTATATATTTTATTTAACTTATAAATTTAAGTAATAATTACTCATATAACATTTATTTTGTTAAGTATTCAAGAAACTCCAACAGGTTTTCCGCGTGAGCGTTTCAAACGGTCCAAGTGCCAAAAGAGCTCCTTCGGAAAACGGGCTAACTATCAAGCGTAGTGCAAAAGGGAAGGAAGGAAATATTCATCCTGCCGCCACTGCGATGGCGTCGAAAAGTTTAATTTTATTTGTGCCGGCAGCAGGGCGAAGTGACGTGCGCGCTCGCAAGGTTTGCCTGTTTGTTTCTCTCCTTCTTCTTCTAGATGATGCGGTGCGGTTAATTAAACTGCTCTAATTCAAATTTACCACCGTGCTCAAAGTTTGCACATAGTTAGTTGACGGCGGCGGCGGCGACGGAGACGACGGTCCTCGCCGCTAATTTAAAATGGGCGACTGCCTTCCTGCCTCTTCGCAAACAGATGCACGCGTGCAAAGAACAAGTACCAGAGAGAGATGGAGATGGAAGCTTCGGCAGCTTGTTGTTGTTCTTTGCGCCCTAATTTGCATGGCAAAGCACACGGCTGCATTGTCACTCGCTGCCTGCAGAAAACACGCTCTCAATATGGAAATGCACAGCGAGCCACATTACGCCCTGAAAATCAAACAAGTGCGAGCAACGCTCGCTCTTTTTTTTGCACTCTGCACTTTCCCCGACGCGGAGAGTTGTTTATTTCTTTTCGCAATTTTCTTACGCACTTGCATATATTGCGTCCCTGTACTGTTCAAAGCGTGAATAAATTAAAAATAAATATATATTTAAAAAGGACTTTTTACAAAATTAATATTGAAACTGATTAATTAGTAAAATTGATATTTGATAACTAGTTTCAAACTGAAATATAAAAATCACAAAAATACACGGTTTGCGATCCTTTTTCATGAGCAAAAAATGCAAAAAAAATCATTATAACTGGAAACAACCACATCTAAACATAAATATTCAAAATCTCAAGATGTTGATTTTTCATATTAAATTCGGTTAATTTAAATTTTGTTCGTTTTTATTTTTCTTGCTCATGAAATAGGCTCGCAGACCGTGCCCTAACCTGGTAAAGCCGTTTTGTTTTTGAATAAAATTTTTACAATTAGGAAAAACCCGATCCCATTACTTCCATGATCATCACCTCGAGTGTCAATTTCTTCACACAAAATGTAGTAATTTCTTGTTGTTGATTTTTCTTATCTTTTGAATACGACAACACAATATTTGCTTTAATTGTCGTTTTTTTATTGCATTCACACTCTTTAAGATTTTTAATTTGGTCATCTAGTTTCCTATTCAACGACTTCGTTAATGTTACCTTAATTTTTTGTTTCAGAATTTTTATTGTTATATTTCAGTGCAGATGAATTATTCAATTTCTTTTAATTGTTTTCAACAGCAGCAAAGAGACAGATCAATATTAATTTTATGACGACAAAAAAGCTTAAATTTAAAACAATAATTGATTTTAATAAATTAAAATGAATGCCAGTCTCGCGCAAATAACTTCAAACATTGAAAATATTCTTCAAATGAACGCGGAAGGCAAAGTTTAACAAGAGAAGTTGAACAGCACCGGGATTAAATATACGCCATCTGCCATTTTAATGTCACTGCGGGTGTAATAACGACTCCGCGGATATTGTTTCACATTGGAATTCTAAATTGCTTTTCGTGTGTAATGGTGTTTTTCTCCTCCTTTGTTATTTTAAAACGATCTGCACTTTTGCGTAATTGGACGTTGCAAAACGAATCTGGAGCAAATCTGATTTTACAAGCATTTCGCAATTCTTACTGCGTCATCTCAATGCAATATATAATTGCGAACGTTCTTTGTAAACCTGGCACGCGTTTCTTTATCCCGAAGGAATTATGCACCACGTCTGACATGGTTGCGTTGCACGTTGCATATATGCGACGTTTTGCAGGAGACGCACAAACGTGACTACGAAAATGCTATAAATTCAAAGTCAGAGTTCGAGGCTTTTGAATTTCGGAGCAGGAAATGTTCGGCAGCCTCAAAATGTAAACGGAGACGTTCTCGGTCTCTTGATTAGCAGGAAAATTCGGTGTTTCGCTCCAGAGGCAAATTTATTAGCGCGCCTCTCCAGGAAATATCGCGCAGCCTCGAAGGCACACGTGCTAATTTGAATTTAGGGCGAAACTTTGGCGAAACAGAACACCAGACCTCTCCTTCTACACTATCTAGAACCGTCTTGGGCTTAGGGAGCTCTCGTACCGTGAAGACTTTATTTTCACTCGCGTGCAAACTCACAGTATTGATGGCGTCTCTGTAGGGCTATTAGAAATTTGCAAGAGTTATATTTTTAAAATCTAAAAAAATCAGTGTGTACAAAAATTATTTATAATATTCTTTTTACTATTTTTAACTTATCAGTTAAAAATTTTAATTATATTTTAATAAATTTTAATTTTATTTAAAGTATGGAAAAATAATAATTCTTATTAATTCGTCTTGCTCTTGCATTACAAAAAAAAAGTTTCAATTCCACTTCTTATTATAATAAATTAGTCCCATATCATAAACAATTATATTTTATAGTAAAATAGCTTTTCATTCTGTCATGGAGTTTGAGGATTTATGTAATTTGATTAATACCATAATTATATTATAAAATTAACACTATTTATTCAATATCTGCGTGATTCATTAGTGAGCTGTAAAAAATTATATGGATTGAAATAATTTTATAGGAAATTTTCAATTTTAATTAAAACACTCTGAATAATAAAGCAAAAATCAAAAAATGTATGGAAAATTGAAACCGGGCAAACCTTTAGGGCTTTAAGAATTGCCGTCAACTTTTGACCTGATTCCGAACCCTCTTTTCCCACGCATGCAGATTTATCCGCGAAAAATTAACTTGGCTCTGATCCGGGTCGAGATACGGCAACTTTATTAGGCGACCCCGGCCGAGGCAAATGCAATTTTGAATAGCCCTTGAGCAGGCCTCGCACTTGTTTTGCGCATCCAGCGACTCCTCTCTGCAGACACGTAGGTTTCTGGTGTGCTCGGAGCAAAATCCCACGGGCCAAAGGCATCGGGGCTGATTGATGAGATCCCACCGCCAGATTGCGCGCCCCGGCCCTTCTTTATTCACCCCTTTTTTCCCCGAGAAATATGTGCTCGAGCGACACGACTTATTTACAGCTCGCGACACAAATATGCAAATTTATCTCCTTTACGGCCACATTTCAATTGGGAACGAGAATCCGCGCCTCAATTCTCAGGTGGAGCTTCGACTTTGCGCCCCCTCTGAAGTCGGTGGTTTCCCTCCTGCTATTTTCTTTTGCACTTTTTTTTATCATGTCTGTTGCTTTGACAACTTTCAAGCTGCACATCTCAAATATGAAAGTCACGGACGGCGCAACACGCTTCGGTTTGATCAATTTCTGCCGCTCTCGCGAAAGACAGAGAAGTTTTCCTCCGAGCGGAAGGAAAAGATTAATGGCTGTATCGAGTTTTTCTCTCGCACGTCAATTTTTCCTTGTAGGGAAAAAGCAGACGAGCGCTCTTAAGCGATTATAAAAACAAAATAAATGGGATTGCGAGGGATGGACTTTTAGCTATAAATAAAAACGAAATGCGCGCGCGAGGGGCCATTGTGGATTTTTAAAAGGTTGCGTGTGCCTGCTGCCAGTGGAGCCTTTTTCTCCGCCCGAACAACGAATGGGGCAGATAAAATCGCCGAGTTTTCTTTTCAACCCATAAATAATAAGTAATGCAGAAGATTGTGCTTGTTTATGAATTATTTTTATCGTAAAAGCACCTAGTCATAATTGAATGAAAATCAATATCGAGAGAGGAGATTCCAAATGGAAAGAAAATCACTTTCACCCACGCAAATAATTCAAGTATATAAATACTCTGGCAGAATTAAAATGAAATATAATATGAAAATGTACTATAAATTAATCATTTTATAATTATTGCTGACTTTTTTTTATTTTCCTTCAGATTTGTAAAGAGAAAATTGAAAAATGGGGTGGACTTTTACAAATTATTTCCTTTTTTTAGGAGAAAAAATTGTTTTTTTTTTTAATTATTTGCATTATTTTGTTTCTGCTTAATGGAAGAAATGTCATGGTTTTAAAAAAACAAGGCCAAATTTTAAATAATTTAAAGTCTTAAATTATCCCTTTTAGTATATTCAAATCAAAATAAGGTATATATCTTTTATTTTAATAAAATCAATTTATTAATTTTGAATAATTGAACAATTGTAAAAATTATTTCCTAAGCTTGTTCACTCATCCATTTAAAGAGAAATAAATTCTTTTCATCTCTGTTTAGAAGTGATTTTTATGCAAAGCACTCTGCTTTCCCAACAGATTCGGATTGGAATTGCAAAGTAAAACTTAACGGCGGTGGTAATAATTGCGTTGTAAATATTATTGTCTCTAGCGGCGAGGGAACAAAGCAATTGCGCGGATCGCGCTCGGAAAGCGAAATGTCCACATAAATAAATTAATTAATTAATAACGCAGCGTGGGAGGCGCTCCTCATTTGCATGCAGCTTGCAAATGGGTTAACTTACTCGGCGCCGCGACTAATTACACACAAATGTGCGGCAATAAAAGGAAACGCGAGAGATGTGTTTCGATTAGTTGCACTGCACACAAACCGTGCGCAATTATTGGAAAAGGAGAAAATCAAAGCCGCGGCGAGATCGCGTAATCAACTCACACATGCCGCACAGCAACCTAGGGTATTTGCATGAATCGTGATGAGTTTGCATCAAACACACGTCCAGTTTGAATAATTATATGTACGTGCAGGCCATAAATCAGGCAGAGCGTTTTATAAAGACAGCATAAATTATGCTGCGAAAGGGAACCCCACAAAATGGAAGTGTGAATCCATGAATTTCGGTCAAAAATTTAATTGTTAGAATTTTAGTAATATTCCCTTTTGTTAACTTCACTAGTTTAAAAAAGGAAAAAAACTCTTATCTTACAATTAGAAGGAACAGATTAATTTTTGTTTTATTTAATCGTTTCTTGAATAGGGATTTTGAATTAAGGAATATTTCTTAAGGAGTATATTTTTCAATTTTAATTTTCTAATTTAACTTTTTTATGATGAAATAAGAGAAAGTAGCACATGTTACAAAAAAATATTAATTTTATAATTGGGTTTCTATTTCAATGTATATGACGCACAGTGTTATTATAAAAATAATTTATAACTCAATTTCCTACATTACACACTGCAATATCACTGTTAAAGGTGTCAACATTAGAATACAAAAAATATGTAAAAAAGGAAATATCAATACAAATGATAAATACTTAATATTTATCAGATTAAATAATAATTAAATTTAAAAGAATAATAAAATTCAATTTATAAATTAATAAATGGGAGTTTTTAAGAACAATTTTAGTAGCTTAATTTTTCAAATTGTTAGATCATATTTTTTATAAATTCAATTGTTTCAACAATTTATTTAAAATAAAAATATAATTGTTGCACTAAATGGCACCACCACTGGCAAGAATTTTGCTGAAACTTCCGAGATCAAAGAGATCCCATCCGCCGCAGTGTGCCTCAGTTGACTTGGTTTTTGTCATTTTTTATAGAAAAAAATTATAAAAATATGTTTTAAATTATATTTATTAACAATGTTGGTGTTCCCCTGCGTCTTAAACCTGTGGGTGGCGAATATAGTGCAGCAAAGGGCCAATTAGCGCGCCTTGTTCTTTCAAAACAAACAAGACGCGCATGAATTATTCACCCCGTAATTGAAGCACAGCCACTAATTTTCAGCTAATTTGGCGATTTCTGTCACGCAGGTCTCGTGGATTCGGCGCAAGGACTTCCACCTGCTCACCGTCGGACTCGTCACGTACAGCAGCGACGACAGATTTTTCGTCGAGCACACCAGACATTTGCAGGTAACACGCTTTTTCTTTTGCCTTTGAGATAAAAAAAAAAAAAAAACGTGTCTTCCGACGAGTTACGAGGCGAGAAATCCAGTTGAATGTCTCATCAGCTACTTGATTGAATGAAAAAGCAAGAAATAAAAAATAAAAAACTCGGCCAATACATCAGGCTTGGTCTGTTTTCATAGTCAAAATCGATCGCTGTATTTATTTTTCAACACGACAAGCAAATATTTGGATTGCCCCAAATCCACGCGGCTAATCGTCTGGAAATGTTTTTATTTTGCAGGAAAAAAATCACAAATCGGAAAACAATTCAAATCCCAGGCACGCTCGCGTCAATTATTATTGTGATTTTAAATAAACAAAACGTGGAAATGGGAAATGCGCGCCGGAAGCGAGTTCGGAAAAGACGAAATTGATGTTGCTCGACCACACTTTGATCAATGAATCACGCCCATATCTAATAAATATTTTGATAAAACAAGCATGCTGTGTTTTGGCCGCGAGCTTTCTTTCTCTCTCTCGCAAATAATATAGAACAGCTGCTACTTTTTCCAAGAGGAAAAGCGGCGCGCGATTTTTCTTGTGCGCCGAAAAGCTCTCAAAGTTATAACTTTTATTTTGGCCCTCTCGGCCAAAGAGGCTTTATTGACAAACGAGATTCGTCTTCCTTTCTCTAATAGTGCTGGGGCTCGTTTAATTTCATTACTTGAGTTACACCGCACGCCGAAATGTTTGATGGGTTCACAGAAGTGCAATCGCGTGAAAAGAAAAGTTCGGAAAAGGAGCCACTTGCAATCAGACGAGGTGATGAAATTGCGAATTCTCAGAAACAACGCCAAAAATAAATCTCCTTGAAGTGAATTAGTGAAGCCTCGCAAATTTTATTTGATCAATATTAATTTATTCTTCCACTCAATATGATATCAGTCACCAGTAGAAAACATGAAAAGTTCAAGAATTTCATTTTCAAAATTTTATAATCTGATTAAATAGTGAAGTGGAAGGTAATTTTATTTTAAATTTAAGTCAAATTCTCTTGTGATATTTTAAATACAAAAGTTAAATTTTAGCAAAAATAAAATAATAATTTAAGAAGTTATATCTAATCTTTAAGTTCAATAATATAAGAATATTTTTTAAACCGAGAAGTAAAATAATTAAAATAGATTAATATTAAAAACTTTAAACTACAAAACATTACTTTTAATTTTAAAAAATTGTATAGACTAGTAAATTTATGAGGCTAGAACTGCAAAAAAAGTCATTCAAAATGTATCCTCTGGCGTTGGAAAATTTATCTTTTGGTTTATATTCGTGCAAGCACAACGGCTTTTAATTAATTTGCCGGTTTTTGTGCTCGCGTAGGAGGAAAAAAGAGGCGAAGAAAGAAAAAAAGAAAGCTGCGGCAGCTGAGGCCATTCCGGCGGCAGCTCATTTTTGTTGAGTAAATAACACAAAGTACGTCTCCCGCGAGATTCGAGCTGTAATGAGAGAATCTTTTTTACGGGCCGCACGTCTATTCAGCGTCATCGCCAAGATTTCGGCTTAAAATTTCCATCCCCGGCCGACGTTCTAAAAAGGGGTCCATTTACGGGATGCATCCCGCGGGAGGTGCCGAGATAAGAAAATGTGGGCGTTATTTCAGCTGACATTGGAAGGTCATAAACTCGACTTCTTGATGGAAAAGAGGGATCAACGTCGCTTTAGTGTCAATTTTAATTTTGCACACCAAAATTCGAGCTTTCAGCCGGGCTTATTGAAATCGGAGACGGTACTTATGCAAATAAGGCTCTATTTGCTTCCAGCAAGTAAAAAAAGAGTTTATACACATACAAGTGTGTGTGTGTCGCAGCCATAGAACTTTCACTTCTCTCTTTGGCAATCGGAGCGAGCGAACTGGTTCAACGCACGTCTTACCCGCGGCTGAGTTTTCACTAAACTTCTAAATGGAAAAGTTGTCCTATTTTCCACTGCGTTCGTCTCTCTCACTCGTTAAAAAGTTAAACTCGCGCTCTCGGCTAGCACAAAAGCTGCTGCCTAGGCAGTAAAACGAGCAGGTTTAAATAACGTTATCAACAATAATGCTCTGGTTATTATCCTATTAAGTTAATCCTTAGCTGTAAAATGGCCAAAAAATTTATATTAACACAGAAAATTCACCTTATTTCTGATTAGAATTATTTTTAATAATGTAATGTTTAATAAATATACAACAATAATTATATATTATAATTAATAATTTAATAATTTAGCACTGAAACTTCATCTTAATAAATTTATTTCATTTCAAAAAATTGGTTTAATGTAAAAGTTGGAAAAATTTGGTCCCTCAGACACTGCAGAATTGAAAGTAGATTTCATGAAAAAATTAAAAATTGAATCCAAATTGTTTATGGCGGAGAGAAAAACTAAAAAATAATAGGAAAACTAACTTCTAAAGGCGACCTGTGTTGTGATGGTACTTTTCCAAATTAAAATCCAAACTAAAAGTAAAAGGGAAGTATTTATAAAAAATAAAAATAAATAAAAAATTGGGGTTTTTTTAAATTAATTTTAACAAAAATTGCAGAAAATAACTTTATTCTATTTCATGAGCAAGAAAAATATAAAAATAAAAAAAAAACAACAAAGAGAACCACATTTTAACAAAATAAAAAAATTCGAAATCAACCAAAAAATTCAATATGTTGAAATTTTATATTAAAATGTGTAAAATGCGGTTTTTTTCAATTTTGCCTATTTTAATAATATTTTTCTTGGTCATGAAAAGTTTTGCAGACCGTGATACTGGTAGAGCCGTTTTGTTCTTAAATAAAATTTTTGCAACGAGGATTTCCTTTTTTTAAATCTGTTATAAATTCCTTCCCACTCTTTTTTAGTTTGGACCCGGCAACGCTCTTAAGGTTTTAAAAATTTTGCAACTTATTTACTAGGTGTAAAGCTCAAAAGCTTTAATTTAAAAAAAAAAACGTTGGCTTTCAGTCACGCAATCTGTTTGAATTATTATTTAATAACGGCGACAATTATCATATTATCAATAAAACAAAGTTCTAAAAATAAATTCCTCTGGATAAAAAATTGACTGAAACCCTTAACAAAAATTTTTAAATTTAATAACAAAATATTAGCCAAAACTTATTCAACCAAACCTTTCAATTGAAATTAATTTAGGATTAATTATGCGATTCAATACTAAATCCATTAATTATAAGTCTGAAAAAAAACGGATTAATAAAAGAAAACTAAATCAGCTTTTCTCGCCTACAAATGAACTCGTGTCAGAAATCAATACGTTTGGCGCCGTAGACGCGAAATTAGTACTGATGACCCTTTTCCCATCTAGCCCTTTGCCCAAGAGAGAAGTATTCGTTAAAAAATCAATCAATGGCGTCGGTCGAAGGCCGCTAATGAAAATACCTCGGCCGTCGGCAAACATTTGCAACGGACCGATCGGGACGCTTGATTAAATAGCGCTTTCGATACAGCTGCAAAAGCTGGGCGAGATTGCAAACAACCCTCAAGTCAGGGTCCGTAGACGCTCAAGACTTTGTGCGCGCGGCCAATGAGTGCTCGGCCCGGCACTTCTCGTGATTGCAGTTATGGCTTTCGCCCTTTGTCTGCGGGGCTTGTTTTCATTTTCGCCCGACGTCTCCACTCTCGCTCGCTCGCGGGCCGCGTTACTCCGTCGTGATTAAAAACATTGATTTTCCATCCTCGCGCCGCGTGTGTGTGAATATGTCGATGCTGCGATGAAAAATGACTTCGCGCCTAATCGCGTTTCTTGCGGTGCCTCTCACTCTTGTCGCTGCGTTTCTTGTGCTCCGGTGCCTCCCTTGTGCACTGCACCGCCTTTTCAACTTTCATTATATTCCACAGGCTGCATCATTGTCGAAAGTGTGATGAAAAATCAAAACATGACTTTTTGGGATTTCTTCCTTCAAACAAAAATTTTTGATAATGAAAAAAAAATATTTAAAAAACCTTCAAAGTAAAAATATTCAAAATAAAGTCAGAGATAACTTTAATGTGATTCAAATTTTAATCATTATTTAATTTATAAAATTAAAAACTCGCAATATAACTGGGCCCAAGTAGAGAACTTTGTTTACATTGAACGGTTTTGAAGGAAACAGTTTGGAATTGATATCAATTTTTTTTCATTTATTTTTTATTTTTTATGTCATTATTTATCACGATTTTAATTAGTCAGGTTTCCGTTTCTCTAATTATCACAAATTTTTAATTTATAATTATATTTTTACTCATTTTTTTTTTTTTAATATATTAAAATCAAATTCATAAATCCTGAAATACTTTCATTTCATATTTTACCATATCTTTGAAAGAATTGATCTTATGTTTCAACGTTTTGAGGACTAGATTGTAAACTACATAATTTAAAATCAGAACTTATTCTTGCAAGAACCCAGCCAGTCCTCATCCACTAACATTCTCCTATCATAGAAGATTCCTTAGTGGATTCAACTGGCAATAGAAGAAACCAATTACAATCTTCTAAAAATCTGCTATTGATAGAAGATCGCATTCACTAATCAATCCACTAAAATATGTTAGTGGATTTTTTAGAAGTTTTCTTAGTGGTCCCCTTCTGCTATCAACTTATTAGTGGTTTCTTATTTATTTATTTATTCTCCATTCGAGTGGATTTTTAGTAGAATTGAGACACTCTGATAGTGGATTTGGCACTCTAACAAAAATCCCAGTGCTAAATTTTAATGCTTGAGTATGTTTGTTTCCCTTCGAGTCACCGTTTTTTCAAGCCCAAGTTTTAGTTGAAAAAGTCCCAGGTTAAAAGTCGCTTATAGGTTAAAAATGGTTTTTTTTTTGGTCAGGCCAAGACAAAGTGTCTTGTCAGCCTGTGCCCATATTGAGCTTGCGGAAGGCAAGCTCCAATCTTATATTATTTGGGTATTTATTTATTTCATTTTTTATTTTTATCTTTATTATCATCAATTTACAGTACTGGTACATTACTAGTACATTACTAGTACTGTACTGGTTTGTGGTGTGCGTGCATATCTTAATTATGCATACATGCGTCGCGCCTCCTATAGAAGTTTGTGCAATAATATGTAAAAATCGGTTTCCTCAAAATTACACCGCCACTAGTATGACTAGTATTGAAAGCGCGACGTAAAACCAGTATTGTATGCGCGACGAAATGCAATTGATGCCAACTCAAATCGGGATTTCTGGGAACCTCGTCTCACGTACTATATCATTAACATTACCCAAAAATGAGGTATTTTAACTTCTAAAATTTAAAATATATAAAATTATATACACAAGCTTGTAATGATATTTCAAAAATCTATTTTTTTTCATGTAATATACGGAAAATTAATTTTTGTTTGTTTTATTAGTTAAAAATTAATGCCATTGACTCTCCAGATAGTTCAAATGTGAATCAGATTGTTCTTATTGAATATTGTTCTCTGTAAAGCATGAAACATTTTAATTAATTCTTTTATCTGAACAAAAATCATTTAGTTAAATCTAAAGTATTCTTATAAAATATATTTCTCTCTAGAGATATATTAGATCTTTTTATTTTAAAATTTATAAGCCTAATTATAACAATTAATTTAAATATAAAATTGAAAGTAAATTCCTATACTTGCAAACAATGTAAAATTACAATTTTAAATATTATTAAATATTTTTAAAATTTAATTATTATTTTATAATCTAAATCAATGCTTTAAATTTTTGAATGATATTTTTATTGAATTCAAGTCATTTTACATTTTAATTCATTCCTTAGGTTTCATTTTGATCAATTTCTGTAAATTCAAGTTCCTTTCGTTCTATGCCAATAACTCGGCCAAGGAGACTCTCTTTGTTTAACTCTATTTCTTTGTACGGCAGTACATTTCCTTGAAGTTCTGATCAGTGGATTAATTCCAACATTCTCTCTGGAAATATCGCACTCGAAACAACGAACTGGGTAAGAAGTAGGTCGAGCAGAAATCGCATATTGATGAGGACGCGGTGGATGAAATAAACAAACACGCGCCGCGGCTTTAAGAATCAACCGACGGAGCAATAAGTCTTTTCTGAAATTTAATATCAGCGGCAGCCGGGAGCCCAAACAGAAAACGCTGCCGGAAAACAAACAAAGATACGAGAGAAGAAAAGAGAGAATGTAACGTAGACATGCATCAGGCGCAATTTCAATCACCTCGCACGCGGCGTAATTCGGGCAGAAAAGCCAAAGTCAATCGCCGAGCGGGTGCGACGCTCGCCCTTTTCCATCCTTTCGCCGGCAATTTTTCTGAAACGAACGCGGCCGATTGTTGCTCGACTCCGGGGCGAATTCGATTCACGTATGTTGCCGTCGCACATTATTTCGCCTTCGCGATCCAATATTAACCGAAAAAAGGATGTTTTGCGCACGAGACGGTCGAGATCCGGGCGGGCAGAGAAAATGGAAAAAGAAGAGAGCGAACTAGATTCGCCCGTCGCCGCCGCCGGGCCAAAGCGTGCCACATAATGCAACACCGTCGGAATAAGAAGTCCTCCCCGGGGATGCAGGTGCTGTTTCCGCCGCCGCAAAATAGGTCGACGGGGCGCTTTTCGCGCGCCCAAATAAATGCAAAAGACTCGTTTCAGGTGAGTGCGGTCGGCCCACCTCATTTGGCCGCGTAAACGGATTACCCGGCGCTAGAGTAATTTCGCTAACAATGAAATGTTTTCCTTGTCTGCATCTCTGCGGTTTTGTTTGATTTCCGCAAACGGCTGCGATGGGAGCCGTTGAATTTTAAACTTGAGAGTAATATTGACTTTGTTTCCTAGCAGAACATTTGGAGCAAAAAAAATTCACTCACTACTTCGCTTCTTTTGAATCAAAGTGAAAAGACTTGTAATAATTTCCTTGGTCCCGAATGTTTCGAGCGAAATAAAAAAAAGCCGGCGCTACTTCTTTGATCTCCGGATCTTTTGCTCTCTCTCCGATGTAAGCGAGAGAAGAGCACAAAAGAAAGAGAATGGGAATATATACGGACATCAGATGGTATGCAATCTGCATTGCAGACGAGTCGAGCGGGTCGTCTATAAATCCCACTTATCGCACAGTTAGCAAGTTGCATACAAATAGCGACGCCAGTTGTTTCCAAGTTACTTACTTTTATTTTAAGCCTAGCTTTTTATTTCAAAAATCAATCAATCGATCGATGATAAGTTAATTTATGCCGATTAAAAATAAATTAGAGGATTTTTTTAATATAATGAATTATTATTATTATTGGAAAAGCCCGATCTCTTCATTTCCATGATCATCTCCTCAAGTGTCAATTTCTTCAAACTAATTGTTATTATTTTTGTTTATTTGTCTCTTTGATTGTTGATAACAATTTATTTAATAAAAGGAACTGTTGAACAAAACGGCACCACCACTAGCAAGAATTTTGCTGAGAAACTTTGGCCTCGGAAGTTTTAGCAAAATTCTTGTTAATTCTGGTGCCGTCTTGTCAAAAAATTCTTTGTTTAGTTGCAAAGTGTCTTTATTGATTGTATCAGAAGGCAATTACTGCCCAGGTACATCATACATACATTCAAATAAAATTATCAATTTACATAATAGAGAGGAAAATCATCTTAAAAAGAAAAAATTCACAATAATCAAAAGATATTACATCAATTGTTTATAATAAATTATTTTCAAAAATTGAATGAAAACAATGTGAACAAAGAAGTAACGAAGATAAAATTAATAATAGTTTAAAAATCGTTTTTTAAGGAGTTTAAAACCTAAAGAAACCACTCAAAAGGTAAATTATTAAATTAGTACTTGTGGCTAATCGCCCTGACGTGGAATTTCGTTCCGAGACAAGAGATATTTTGGGACAAAGCTCATGTAAAAAAAGTTATAAAATTCCTGTTTTGATTATAAAAAATATTAATCGAGGGCGAAAATTTCCCAGGACAGACTGGGGTTGTATTAAACAATATTAATTTTGGGAAATTTCCGCCCTCAATTAATATTTTTTATTATCACAATAGGAATTTTCTAACTTTTTTACTACTTTTATATCTTGGAACGTCAGGGCGATAAGTCACAAGTACTAATTTAGTTTTGTTAAAAAATTAATAATAATGCTCAATGCTCTAATTAAAAAATAAATTTGAACAAAAAAAACCCATTTTATTTAAAACACTAAAAAAAATTATCACCTACGAAAAAATTTACTTGATTGCTTTCATAATTTTTATTTGTGTAATATTTCCATTTACTTAATTCAAATATCCATTCCAAAATTAACCAATAATTTATGTTCGTAACTTCCAACCTCAAAAGCTTCTCAACCCTTGTGCTCGGTTCATAATCATAATCATGAATTATCCGCCGTTGGGCTATTCACAAGCCGAGTACCAAAAGGGCGAAGCAAAACAATTGTGCAGAGACCGACGAAGCTTGTTAGAGGCGAAACAAGCAAATTAGCTACGACAAGACGAAACTGATCACGCCGTAGGTAGCGCGCAGAGAGAGCCGCATGAATATATAATTTGGCCCGAATGCAACTCGAGCCGACTGAACTGAACACACAGCGCGTTTTGAGCGAAATGAGAAACGACGAGAGAGATGAGAAATTCACCCTGTGATTTCCGCCTAATGAACTCGTCGCTCGCTCGTGCGCACGTCAACTGCAGAGCTCGCGTCTTGCCATGAGCGCGCCTAATTTAATTTCATTTTCTATTGCAGAATTGGGGACTGAAAATCAAGTCGGTGCAGCAGCGGGACTCGGGCTTCTACGAGTGTCAAGTCTCATCGCATCCCCCGACGAGCATCTTCATCGAACTGCGAATCGTTGGTAATTAAACTTTGCTTTTGGTTTTATTGGAGTCGACGCGCCTCTCCGTACCATAAATTTCGCCAGATTTTCCCTTTCACTTGATTTCGCCGAGAGTTTCCCCTTCGGCCTCCGGCTCTTGCCTTTCAATGGAGCTTTATTAACGATATTGACTTGCACCCCCATTGTGTTCGAACCTTCAATGCGTTTGCCTTCATCAATATTTGGTTTTGTTGTAAGAATATATAAAGCAGAATTCTCCGAGGTAACTCAAACAATTCGGCCTATTTTTCTCCAAATTTTATTTAAAATAATAAGAAAAACTCTCGTCGTCAGCAAAACTAAAACATAAATGAAAAATAAATTCATTATAAATATGAGGAATGTTTTCAATTCCTCTTGATAATTTAATTTGAGCTTTATCAAAAAGTCAGAAGTAAACGTTCATCCTTTATTAGGCAGAATTCCTAAGAGGTGTATAACGTAGATTTTTTTTTATTTGCGCCTTTAATCAAATTTTTATCAATATAAATTATACCCGCACAATTTGTTTAAAATATAATTCAAAAATCAATTAATCAACTTTTTAAGGAAAATCAGGATTTTTATTTCGTATTTTGAACCATTATCAAACATTTTAACTTCAATTTAGATGGTGATTTGAATTTAAAATCGACTTTTCCTTGGTGATGAGTTTTTTTTATTAAATTAGTACTGTGACTGAAATAAATAATAAATATTGTAGATGAATTATATATCCTAATTGAGACATTACAAGTTTTACATCAGTTCAAGCGATAATAGATTGGCTCTTGGAGGTTTTGTAAAAATATTCACATTTAATGAACTGCCAAATTTTTTTATAAATGTAATCTTTTCTGACTTTTTAACTCAAATTATAAATTCCTCATATTACTTTGCTATCTTTGTTAGAGTTAATAATGATAATAATGAAAATAATTTGATAAATAATATAATAATTTAAAATATTAAATATAAGAAATTATTCATATTAATAAGCTTGAATCAAATTAATTTATTGTGTATTTAATTCAACTTAAACATTAAAATCAATTATTTTTAATTTTTTTGTTCTTCTTTATCAAAGAAACTCCAAAAGGTTTTTCGCGTAGGGGTTTCAAACGGTCCAAGTGCCAAAAGAGTTCCTAACCGCACTTAGGAAAACGGGCTAACTAGCAAGGGTAGTGCAAAAGGGAAGAAGGAAATATTCATCCTCTGCTTTTCCTTCACGGAGAGTTGTTTTATTTTTGAAGAAAAAAATATATCCTGCTTCTTGCTGTGCACGTATCAGCTGTTTAGTCTAATCATATTGACAAAAATTAGTACAAAATATCAATTCTTTTCTTTCAAATTAACAATTTTTCATTGAGAAAGTATTTAACTTTTCATTTTAACACAATTTTGAGCACAAATTAATTTTTGTGATAATTTAGGTCAGAATATTGAAACGTGTGTTTTTTAGAGAAGACCAAATTATTTTTTCTTTTGGTTTTTCACAAAACCCATCGAGAAAGGTTGATTTTAAATTCATAATCACCGTCAATGAACCCTAAATCTTGAATTCCTATTACAAATTTAATTTTTTAAATTAAAAATTTTTAATCTGGATCAAATTATTTTTAATAGATAATCCAATGATAACGCAACTAATTTGAACCAAACGGAGTCATTGTTCGACCATTTCCCAATCAATAATCACTATAACCGGATCTCGACGCCCACAATAATTGAAAATATCCCACACCATTGTTGCAATTAGCCTAAAACCCGCTAAATCCATTAACGACAATACTTGCGTCAACAGAGTAATTATTCAGGCACTTTGCTCCAGCAGAAAACAATTTATTGTTTTGTTGTTATTAGCGATTCTCATAACCACGGATTCAGCAACCAGAGTAATGCGATTACGATGCACACAGGGCGGAATTGTTTATTAAAAGCTTAATCGGCGGCAAACTACCGCCACTATAATTACCCGCGATTTATGCATCGCGCGCTCTGATAAACATGTCGAATATTTACACGTGCTCTTGTGATACGAATGATTGCGTTTGGATTGAGCACGTTGTGATCTGTTTGCTCAGCGGTGATTTATCCCGCAGATTGTTTAGTTACAATCAACAAGCATATGTTCTCTTTTCTTCCTGACCCAGTTACTTAAGCTGAACCTAACAAATTTGTTTTGATGATTTGAACATTTTGAAAATACCTCCGCAAGCCAATCTAGTCTGAAATCACATTATATATTATATTTATCAATCAACAACGTCGATGTCATTCCCTATTCAGCAACTTGATATATCAAAGTGCATAACGTGCTTATTATTTTTTCTATTTTTTTATTATTATTATAAAAGAATTTAAAATTTGATAAGGACTGTAAAGTTTTGTAATTTTATTCTACCCATTTTGCTAAGAAAAAGTAAAATAAAAAATAATATTAATTATTATTAAATTTAAAATACAGAAAAAAGTTTTATGTTTTTAATTGTAAAAATATTTTTTTCTAACATTTTAAACTGTTTGGATATTTTTGTGGTAGAATTTCACGATCAAGGGTTGATTCATGGTGATTTGAATTTAAAATCGACTTTTCCTCGATCGGTTTTTGTGAGTTGTTTATTGTTTCTATTGTTTTTTCTGAAACAATAAACAACTCACAAAAACCCATCGAGGAAAAGCCGATTTTAAATTCAAATCACCATGTTTGGATATTATTTCAGTTTGGAATTTCTGGTTCTTTTTTCTATCAAAAACAATGATAAAGTCGAATCTTTGTCTCACGAGGATCCTTTTCTCATTCAATTATTAAATAAAACTTTTTAAATTTTTTACGCATCGTCCTAATTGCCGTGAAATTTGTCTTTCAGAGGCCTCGGCCGAGATCTCGGGCGGCGCCGCCGACCTGCACATCAAGAGCGGCAGCACCCTCAAGTTGACCTGCACCCTGAAAAAGAGCACGGAGCCGCCGGTGTTTGTTTTCTGGTACCACGACGGTCGCATGATCAATTACGACAAGGAGCGCGGCGTGCGTGTGCAGAATGCGGGCCGCGCCGGCAGCGCCCTGGTGCTCGAGGAAGCCATGCCCGCCGACTCGGGCAACTACAGCTGCGTGCCCTCCAACGCCCGCCCGGCCAGCATCAACGTCCACGTGCTCGACGGTAACGACCCCCGATTAATTTCCCTCCCCGATCAGTGCAGACCGCCCGATTCCATGCATTTCAAATTAAACTGCGGCGGTGATTTGGTCTGGCCACAGGGGTTGCGGATTCCACGTCCCGACCGCAATCAAACGGATTTTTTTCCCTTTTTTTCGGGCGACCACTGGAAAATAAAAATGTGTAGAGCAGCTTTTGTCAACAACCGAGCCTCGCGGTTTCAACTCGCTCTTCAGCCGTAAAATTTAATTGGGGAAAAAAGAGGAACAGCTATAAAATTAATAAAAAAAATGGCGCATTTTCGTTTCATTGGATTTTCAAAATGTATATGAAGCAAATTTCAAAGGAGTTCTTGAAATAGTTGTTTTTTCTTTTCTAATTAGAGTAAATTCTTTTTGTAAAGTGTAAAGAAGAAGATTTAATTTTTAAGAGGTTTTTACTGGTTTTTACGTGTTTTTTATGAAACTGTAAGAGAAAAACTTTGCTTTAAAGAATGGAATATGTACAAAAATTTTGTCCTTTAATTAAGAAATTAATTTAAAATTATTCAAAAATGTTCTTTTTATATAGAAAATGTATTAAACACCTTAAAGTGTACAAATTTTATCTTTTTGAGTCACAAAAAAATTAAAACGCTCAATTTAAACCTAGAATTTCATAATTATAAGTCCAAATTTTCAACATCCTCTAAAGCCTAGTTTTCCTCGCACATTTTCAGCAAAACCACGTAAAAACCTCTTTAAAATTTAATGAAGTTGTTTGCTTTATAACTGAATTTTAGAATTCATAAAACAATCTTTATATGATGTAGAAGAGTTTTGAAGTATTTTTTTTTACTCTGTTTAATTTGCCTTATTGTAAAAATAAATTCTAATGTTTTTGACCAATGATTTATGGAACATCGACAAAAATGAATAAAAAAAACATATTAAATTAAATGGTTAGGCTCAGGGTGAATTCCATTAAAAATTGAAACCGGGCAAATCTCTTTGCAAAGAAAAAAACTATGTTGAAAATAATTAAATTATTAATAGGCAACCTGCGATCTGCTGGTACTTCAAAAACCTAGGGTTTTCTAACTCCAACCATTTTTTTTTTTTCAATAAATTTTTCTGATGTGGTGAAATTTCTAAACACTCCGCTGATGTGGGAAAATCTCCAGGGGCCATATAATGTGAAAATCCGCCACTGCCTGCAGAAATTAATTAAACAAAGGAGTCAGTCAACAGCTTCAAACTGTTACTAGTCCTTGATTTTTTTCATTTTGTTTCCTTTTTCAACTAGGTTCACCCGGTTTCAATTTTTCGTAAATTCTTAAGTAAAATCAGAATTTAAAAAAGCGTTTTGTAATCTAGATTTTCAAATTTTAATCCATCACAACGTCTCATATCTTCAAAAAATCCAAGATGTCAACAGCTATCAAATTCAAATTGGAAATTTGATAAGAATCCTCGTGCTACAAAAAGACCGCATAAGGCACTTCATTCTAATCTTCTCTCTGACGTGTCCAAGCGTGAAAAGAAAATTGAGTTCGGCCGTAAAAGTCGTCGAACCAAAATCCACTTGCTGCAGGACGAATTATATACCCAGCGCGTATTGTTCTATGAATTTTTGACGACTTTCACAGCGAAAAGCAATTTGTTTTTGAAACGACGCAGGAATTAGTGAATTTAACGACTAAAGCGAAAAAGCGGGACGCGCTTTTTGTTTGCGCAACACATCAGCAGTGAATGAAGTGCCGCTGCTTGTTTCGCCTTTCGCTTGCGATTTTTTTATTTTCAACGTCGCCGTCCTAATTGACCCTTTTGGCACTTTCGGTTTCAACGACCAAGTTCTGCCTTTTGAACAGAGATAAAAAAAAAGAAATGATTCACATGTTTTATCGACAAAAGGATTCGCCGTCTCTTTATTGCAATGTCAAGTGGATTCAGTAATTTAAGTAATAATCGATTATCAATGTCAGAGTAATTGACGAGCAATTTAATCAACAAAAACCGTGAATTAAACAACAATTTAGAGTGTTTTCGCCATTTTTATCTCTATGGTGGACGCATTCTTTTTTTTGTAATGAAACCTTTCATGCCAGTTCAAACGGTCATCTCCGGCCAAAGTAAAACAGAAAAACATATCCCATGGGTAGGCAACCCTCTATGCGTGTGTTTATTTGTAGAGAGAACACCAAAGGTCAGTTTAAACAACGATTTTCTGCTGCTTTTAACTCGACCTCGTGTTTACGCGTGACCTTTGCCAGCAAATATAATGAAAATGTCTGCGCCCGGAAAGTTTAAAACCTTTGGGAATGAATCGTGTTTTCCGAATTGAGTAATTTTTAACCTCTGGCACTTTTCATTTTTTGTTCTTCTTCGGCAATCAATAGCGCCAGACGGAGGAATTGTTACCCAGACAAAAGGAACGTCAAATCAAATAAGAGTTTACGTTGTGCGTGTTCCTCGTTTAGGCTCTCGGCGTTTGTAAGAAATCTTCCTTCCCAATCCTGGTGCGCGCCAAACGAGCGAAATCCAATGATAGAGGACAACATCTTTCCTGTCTTGCAATAAGAAGGATAAATGTTTTGTATCTCTCGAATTGGCTCGGTGCTCACAAATGCGTATTTATAGATGTCCGTAAACAAGTCGAATTTATAAATGGAAAAATTTGAAATACTGATCGAATGAAATAGTTTTTGTCAATTTTTATAAAAAGTTTAATCAGTAGATAAGGTTCAAGCATCAAGATTTGAAGAAATTGAGAATTAAGATTTGCGAATTTTTAATATTTGTGTGAGGGCTTTTGCTTAAAAAAAAAAACAGCCCATTTGATTTTGATGTTAATTTCTATCTTCATTCTAGTATTTATTTGTTTAATGTGCATTTCAAGGAGATTATCTTTATGATTGATTGATTTATTTATTAAATACCAACGGTATACAACATACATACTAGACATAAAATAAAGTAAAAATCGGTCAAATGAAGGAACAAAAATTATTTCATCGGTATTGTCTCTCACACTCGGTGTTGTCTCTCACTTTTTCATTGTCGCTGCGGCTGATAACGTAATATTGCTCTTGTTACATTCGAATAAGTGATAAAAAAGAATTTTTTCATCGCAAAATTTACATTTACATTTGTCATCTGCTGCCGTGTGATAGGCTGCATTTGTGCAAAACAGGTAGTGAAAACCGTGGCAAGAGTAGCGGGTGAACATGTGTCTGTCTTTACAATTTGTAGCCTGCCAGTTTTTGTTCGTCATTGCAGGTGTGTTATAAAAATGAGGATTGATTTCCAATTGTTTAAGACGCATGGAGTTAAAAAATTTGTCACTTTCTGAGTGCGCTGGAAGATTGTATTTGTTCATTAAGTCACTGACGATTGTTTCACTTTCCGTTAATGCATATACAAGTCGTGATTTCATTCTTTTAGACAGACTTAAAACTCTCTTTAGGAATCTTGATTTTATGGTTTCTAGTTTTTCCAAATCCCTCTGCTTCAAATACGGCCAAATGGCTTCAATTCCGTAACTTGCAACCGGTGAGATAGCTAAGTCAAATAGTTTTTTGGCCGACTGCAGAGAGGATTTTGGCAAAGCGTTTAGTTTGGCCATTGCAAAGAGTGCCGCTTTCACCCTTTTGCTTACATGATTTGAAAAGCAAGTTCCCGATGATTGAAAAGTTACACCTAAATAGCAGAACTCTGTTACAAATTCAATGTTTTGTCCATTTACATTTAAAATGTCGTCTTTCCTTAGACGGCCTCTACCCTTATTTCTAATTTTGAGAATCTTACACTTATCATAATTCAATTTTAAGTTTTTGGTTGCTAGATATTGCTCAATTTCCAAAAGTGCTGCTTTAATATCTTCAAGGCTATCGCCTATTAGCACAATATCATCTGCGTAAAGTATTGCACGGACATTTTTACAATTTTTTATGGCCTCGTTTAAATCACTGACTGTGAAAATGAATAGAAAAGGAGAAAAGACACCACCTTGTCTGACTCCATTTGACTGTGTTATAGTTTCCGATACAGTGACACCATCATTTACTTGTAGGTAGTTTAGATCTAGCATTTCCGCCACAAGATTAAGTTCACCATGAGCTAATTTTTTAGTAGAAATTAGTTTTTGAAATACAACTTTTCGGTCAATTGTGTCAAAGGCTTTTTTCACATCTAAGAATACACAGTACAATGGCTTCCCTTTTTCATAAACAGATTCATTTATCTCACTAATCAACTCGTTTACAGCTTGTATAGTTGATTTACCTTTGACAAAACCATATTGATTTGGTGGTATATTGTCTATCAGACTTGAAGTAATCCTATTATTAATTATACGATCTAGCAAATTATAGAAAGTGGAGCTTAAACTAATGCCTCGGTAAGAATTTACATTAGAAGTATCACCTTTTCCTTTGAATAGAAGCTTTAGATTAGAGTATTTCCATGCTTCTGGGAATTTTCCGGCGCGAAGACATAAATTGAAAAAGGAAGTCATTTCGGGAGCGAGGCTTGAGAAGAGAGCCTTTAGATTTTCATTTGTTAACATGTCAAAACCTGTTGCCTTTTTTGTTTTTAAACTTTTAACTGCAAATTCTACTTCTTCTTCCATAATATTTTTTAACTCTACATTTTTAGGATATTGGTTTAACAAAGCCTTTAAGTCTAAAGATTGGCCAGGCTTAAGTTTACTTTCATTCAGAAGATTATCCAAAGTTTGCTCCCATGTTTTCATTGGTATATTATTTTCTTTCCAGGTTGAATTATTGTTAAGTTGCAGAAGTTTGTAACATCTTTTTTCTGCTTCCTCTAATATTTTATTGTCTAATTTGTCAACGTATTCCCTTTTCTTAATTTTACAAAGTTTTACATATTCCTTTTTTCCAGTTGAGTATATTTCCATCACTTCGTTTTTATCGTCTTCAAAACCTTTTACCGCTGGAAAAGAGTTAATAAAGGTTCTTAAAAAGTTGAGATCTTGTTTGAAACAGTAGCATTGGTAATCAAACCAGGGCGCGCTTTTCCTTTGGAAATTTTGAGGAGTGATTTTTGACTCTTCAACAAGTGCAAGTACATTTTTGTAGAAATTTTCTATGTTTTCCATTTCAATATCATTTCTTAGAATATCAGTATATTTACATTCAATCAAGTACTTAAGTTTAAGATCATCTACCCTGGGGCGACCTAGCCCTGGTTCATATGGATTAGCATTTGAATTAGGCATCTCAAAATTTATGGAGACCAAGCAATGTTTAGTTAAATGGGGGTCATTGTTTAAATTAAAATTGTTTAGTTTGATTTCTGGGCCCAAAAGAATTAGATCAATAGTGCTGCCTCCTTTTCCAGCTAAGTAGGTTCTCTGAAGAGGGAGGCTGTTTGCAAGAGTAAGGTCATTCATTTCAGCAAAGTCTAGAAAGCTCTTGCCTTTTAAGTTGGTTGAAATTTCAATTCTACAGTTAAAATCTCCAGCGAATACAACCTTTTCAATATTTCTAATTTCTGGGAGAGTTTTCAAGAGTTGCTCCCAAACATCATCCGAATTTAACTTTGGATGCAAATAAGAACCAACAATGGAGAGATGTTCAAAGTTCAAAATTATGAAATTTTTTAATAGTTTGCAATTTATGATTTCCCCAACTTTGCCTTTGTAGTAAATTGCGAGACCTCCCTTTGGTCTGCCACGCGCAGATTTTTCGGCTAGAATATGTTTGCTATAAAACCCCGGAATCGAAAATGGTTCTAGTAAAAAAGTTTCAGTTAATATGAGAATGTCATAATTTTTAAATTCAGTTTCACCAAAGTTGCTATAAACACTTTTAAACCCTTCTACATTCCATAGTAGCAATTTGATGTTTTGTGAACTATTCGTTTCGGGGTCGTTTAAAAATTCTGTGCGGTTATGATACCTGCGCTGTCTTTATCTTTATAAACAATTTAATTTATTGGGAAAACTGAATTTTTAAAAATAACATTGCTTTTCATGGGAATTTTGTAAATGTTGTCCCATGATCGTTGATAAAAATCACCCCAATTAAACTAGCTTAGTAATTTTAATAAATAATTTATATTTAAAGTTTATTACATAAATTATTCCAATAAAAAAAAATTAATTTTATAAACGTTATTTTTACTTTTTACTTTTATTAAATTATTATTTTAATTTTTTACATTTTTTTTTTATTAAATCATGTAAAACGGAATATTAAGCTTCTTGTTAACGCTGCAGATTTTAAATTATTATTTTTTTTTTAAATTTAACAAATATAGTAGGGGGTTCCTTATTCATAGGTAAATGCAAATTGAATTGATTTTTCGTGACACAAAATAAATTTTATTTAGTTATAAAAAATGCATTAAAAATTAAAGACCGTTTTTGTACGTTGTCTACTACAATTTGATTGATTGAAATTAAAGACTATTAAAATGTTAATTAAATCTTAAATAAGAAAACATTTCAATGCATAAAACTTAAGTACTGAGCATAAAATGAATTCTCTGGCATTTTCATCTCAATTACCAGCTAATTATAGCATCACCTCAGGACAACATTTTTCCTGTCCTGGCACGGTGCTCACAAATACGTAGTAATGCATGCTCATAAAAATTTAAATTTGTAAATGAAAAAAAAAATTGAGCATGAGATCATTTTTGACAATTTTTATGAAGAGAAAAATCAAATAGATTTACAAGGTTCAAGCATCAAGTTTGAAAGTTGTAAATTTATAAATAAATCTGAAAATTTGTACGATCAAAATTAATAAAAATCGCCCCAATGAAATTTGCGAAATAAATTTAATAGACAGCCTAATTTTAAAGTTTAAGAAAGTATTTAATTAAATTAGTTAAAATTGATAATTTTATTTTTTTTATCTAAATAAATTTATTTTTTATTATTTTTAATTATTTTTCTCTTTTTATATAAATTACGAAAAACAGTTTATCAAACTTTTATTTAGTGCAAATATTAAAAGCTTTTTGTTAACGCTGCGGATTTAATAATTATTTTTTTATTACAAACAAGGCAGGGAGTGACACATTGATAGGTTAAATCAATGCAATTGAAATTATCATCTGCTCAATCTGCTGTGAAAAATTGTTTAATTTAGAAATCAAAAATGCATTAAAAATTGAAACCTAAAATTCCAATTAAATATGAAATAAGAAAACAATTAAACTGAAGTATTGAGCATAATTTTCCTGGTCGACCCGAAACGTAGGAAAAATTAATTCCCTGACATTTTCGTCCCAAAATTACCGGCCAAAAATAGCTCAGCGCCGCAAGTGCCGAACAATTTGGCCAATTGCACCCTTATAAGCTCGGCGTGCAGAGCAAATTTGATTACTCAGGCAGAGGCCAGCGGCGAGTTGCAATAATAAAACGCTCGGTTGGTTTTCAGCCGGAGACGAGAAGCCGGCCGCGATGCAGCACGGAAGCAGGACCTCGAGCTCGCCGTCGCCGCTGGGCTCGCTGGTGCCGTGGTGCACATTTTCCTCGCTGCTGGTCACCTACTTGACGTGGCTGCGGCCCCAGAGAAGACTGCTGCTGGGCAGGTGATCTCGTTAAGAGGAGCAAAACACCTAGCTCGAGAGACTGCACCCTAATTACCCACAGCCACCCCTCCTCAAGCAACCCCCAGTTTTCTTGTTGAGAAAAAAAATAAATAACGAGAAGAAGAAGAAGAAGTGTTAGTTGTTGTTGCCCGGTCGGTCGGTTTGTTTAAGGATGTGTTCTCGATCGGGAGATGAGTGAATTTTTGTTCTTTTGTATTTTTTTTTCTTGAGATTAAGTGGCTCAGCGTTTTAATTGGATCGTAAGGAGGAGTGCCGCGCGAAGAGGGTCTGATTTTAATTGGATCGTCGCGCGCATAACGTCTTTTTTTTACATAATTATTGAATTTTGCATCTGATCGAATGATTTGTGTGGAAAAACTCAATCCGAGTATTAATCAAGAAATTTTGTGCGTGTACCCGGATAAAACTCCCTAAATTAGGGGTTGAATGTGGTGTAATTATCTCGATTTTTGAACGTTTCGCGACCTGGATTCTCGATGAATGTCTCTCGTTCTATTACTCAATCTTCACTTCGGATCGGAAGAATATGTGTAAAAATTGTACTTTTAAAACGCTGTATATATGTAACGACGGAACTCTGGCGTAGATTTAAGGAAACTGCATAATGTACATTTGATGCGCATTCGTTGAAATATTATGATTGTCTGGTTCCGAACGACTTGCTATATATTTTTAATAAAAACTTCTTTGCGTTAATAATCTTGTTGCTTCGGTCTAACAGATTTTAAAGTGCGTGTAATAATCATTATTAGTTGTAAAATTATCCATTTGTTGTGAATTAACCCTTGTAAGTTTTCCTGGAACTGCAACAAAAATTTAGATCAATTTTCAGCTATTGTGTTGATTTTCAACGATGTACGAGCATAACTTATATAAATTGAATCGAAATTTGCGAAATTTGACTCATGTACAATAATTGAGTAATAAATGTATAATACGGTTATTGTGCTCAAAGAATTTAAAAAAAAGAGAGAGAACGAATTCTTATGATTCGCAATGGCAAGGAAATTTGAATGTTCAGCCAGAAAATGAGTTGGAGGCAACTTTGGTTTCTTTTTTGGACTGTAATTCAATCAATTGCCAAATTATTTAATATTTTTTAAAAATAAAGTTTGAAACAAATAATATGGCACATGGGTTTCTACTTTTTACAACACCACCGCGTTCAGCAAGACCTTATAACAAGATCAAACACGTTTGTTTACTCAAGTTTATTGGCGGTTTTATGAGTTGTTTGATTGCAGAGCCAGATTCCTCAAGATTGAACTAATAAGCCAACAAGCAATCTTGGTTTTATTACAGAATTTATTGTGATTTTTTTTCAGTTCCATAATTGATCTTAAATTCTAAAACTTATTTAATTTTGTAAAAAAAATTAAAAAGGTCTTTATTTAACCATTTGAATTTAATTTTAAACAATTTTTTTTTGCTGCTGAACTTTATTTCTTTCTGATTAAGTGAGTTTGATTTTAATTTTTGCACCCGCCACCCGGTATTATCAACTCGCCTATTTAATCGATTCTGCGTCCAAGGCAGTTACATTAAATTTTACTTGCGCAACGCACTTCACTTGAAGAATCTGAATCGATTCGTCACCGTCAGTAATTGAAATGATACTTATATAAGTGAAGGTAAAACTTGAGTCTAGTGCATTTGCTCTTTAATGGTCGGACGAAATGGGCGCTCTGGAATTTTCATTGTTGCTCGTATTTGCCACTTTTGTGGCGGGTTCTCCGCTTCCTAAAGCAACAACCTGTGGTTACGATGTACGTGAACGTTTTCCATTGATACTTATTTAAATTTTATTAAATTTGAATATTTAATTTAATTCTTTAAATTTAATGTCGCACACCTATGGTGTTCTCTTTAATAAATTCAATTTAATTCTTTATTTATTTATTTTTTGAAGAAATTTTTATTCGTTAAAAAAGGAGTTTTTATTAAAATTTTAGGCCTGTCCAGTTCCCAATCCCGACTTGATCAACGTGCATTTGTTTCCGCACACGCACGACGACGTTGGCTGGCTCAAAACGGTGGACCAATATTATTACGGTCACAAAAACGACATCCAAACTGCAGGCGTTCAATATATCCTCGATTCTGTTGTGAATGAACTTCCGAAAAATCCAGACAGAAGGTAATTAGATTGAACAAAATGGCACTGCAAAAGACGATTATGAAATTCAAGGAAATACTTATCCTTCGATGAAAAAAATCATTTATTCAAATAACAGCTCTACCACTTTTTGTCATGGTCGGCAACCCTATTTTAAGAGCTACTTCAAGCTTTTATACAAAATTTAAAATTTTTAATAAAATAACATTTATATAATATTATTAATTTCGCTCAATTTAAAATTATATTTAAACATATTATGTTAGTATATTAACTAATATTTTTTAATAAAATAAATTTTTTAAATTTTATTATTATTATTTTCTCTTAATAATCGGCAAGCAGTAGGTTTGCTCATGAAATAGGTTTGCAAACCATAACCAAAACAAGAGAAGCAGTTTTATTTTTTTATATAAATAATGATTTGTTAAAATAATGCTACTTTATGTCCAAGAAGGGCATTGGTACTTCTACCATGATCAATATGTTAAAATTATTATAATTATTCAAAATAATATATTATTTATTTTGCTCACTGTCAGATTCATTTACGTTGAGACTGCCTATTTGAGGCAATGGTGGAACCAGCAGACGCAAGAAAGCAAAGAAAAGATTGAAGCTCTCGTAGCATCGGGCCAATTGGAAATTATCAGCGGTGGATGGTCAATGCACGATGAAGCAGTGACCCATTATCACTCCATCATAGACCAATTTACATGGGGATTTAAGTAAAAATTTTTTTTTAGATATTCAAAATTTATTAGGATTATTATTTTAGAAACATTGACGACATGTTTAATACAACTTGCGCTCGTCCGCACGTCGGATGGCAAATCGACCCCTTTGGCCACGCAAGAGAAACGGCCTCAATTATGTCCCAGATGGGCTTTGACGGACTTTTCTTTGCCAGACTGGACGAGGCGGATAAAATTAACAGATACAAAAATAAGGAGCTGGAAATTGTTTGGAAGGCCAGCGCAAATCTCGGTATAAAATGAAAATAAAAAAATGTATACAATTTGAAAGAAATTCTAAATATTATGCAGGCTCAGCTGCCAGTCTTTTCACGGTCGCTTTTCACGATTATTACCACGCACCTGAAGGTTATTGTTTTGACGTAATTTGCGATGATGACCCAATAATTGACGACGTGAGAAGTCCAGATTACAATGTCGATGCAAGAGTGAGTTAAAATAATACGCACGCAATTAAAGCAAAATTTTTTTTATATATATAATTAAAGGTTCAGGATTTCATCGACTATATCGAAAGGCAAATCCAGTATTTTAAAACAAACAACATTCTCGTGCCGATGGGCCAAGACTTCAGTTATCAACAAGCCAGCTATTGGTTTAATAACATCGACCGACTCATTAAGTGCGTTTAATTATGCGATAATTTCAATTTGAATTACGTCTTGAAACTTTGGCTTTAAGATACGTGAATGAGAGACAATCGACTGGCTCAAGGGTCAATTTAATGTACTCCACGCCATCGTGTTACTTGAAAGCCTTGCAAAATGCCGATCTCAGCTGGAAGACTAAGGAGGACGACTTTTTCCCTTATTCGAGCGACGATTACAGTTACTGGACCGGATATTACACCTCCAGACCGACGCTGAAATACATGGAAAGGAAAGGAAATAATTTTCTACAAGTAATTCATTTTTTTTTAAATTTTGAGACTCTCGTAATTATTTTTAATTCGTCAAGATTTGCAAGCAACTGAGCGTTTTGGCCGATCTACGAGAGGAAAATTGGGAGGATTTGGCCTCTTTGCGCGAGGCTATGGGAATAATGCAGCACCACGATGCCATCACCGGCACTGAAAAGCAACACGTTGCCGAAGATTATGCTTTGAGGCTGCACAGGAGCATGGAACATTGTCACGTCACAACCGACAAAGCTCTCAAGTATAATTAAAATTACACGGAAAAAAATATATAATAATAATCTGCCAATCCAAAGTAAAATTGCGAGCAAGGGTGTGCAGGAAAATTTGGAATTCAAGTCATGCCTCTACTCGAATGTCAGCCAGTGCGATATATCAGAAAATAGCGACAAATTTGTAGTAACCCTTTACAACCCTTTGGCACAAGCGTCGACTTTGTACGTTCGACTGCCTGTTTTGGATTTCGTTTACGAAGTTCGCGATGACACTGGTATTATTAAAATTTTTTTTTAAAAAGGAAAATTAAATTCATTTTTGTAATTTTTTTAGATACACTAATCACCGAAACACAAATGTTGAGAATTCCGACGCCGATTTTAACTTTGCCTGGACGAGCGAGTATTGCAACTCAGGAGCTGGTTTTTAGGGCGACTGATATTCCTCCGTTGGGCTACAAATCCTATCACGTCACCAAAACAGCAGCAGCTTCTGCTCCTGCAATGCCAACTAATGATTTCGTTATTAATAATGATGTAAGCTCGTTAACATCTCTGGTCATTAAATTTCAGTTTATATTTTTTTTTAGGTGATCGAAGTCACTTTTAACCCCGAAACTCATAAATTGGAAAGCGTGAAGGATATTCAAAAAGACAAAACTTACTCGCTCAGCCACGACTTCCAGTATTATGAGGGTGTGGAAGGAGATAATTCTGTGGCGAGCGCACGTGCATCTGGAGCTTATATTTTCAGACCTGTCAATCATCAGAAAAAACCGATCACCAACAACCCACCCGCCACTGAAACTTACAAAGGTGGAGATTAATTTTTTTTCTAATTTTATAAGCCCCTGATCAAAACGAGCTAGGCAACCCGCAACGTCAACAGATGCTTCAGGCTGCCTAACTTTCAAAATTTAATGTAATTTATTTCACTCAAAGGTCCATTGGTTAACGAAATCCACCAAGTTTGGAATGAATGGGTCAGCTCAGTCGTCAGGATTTACAACGGATACAACGATATCGAAATTGAATGGACAGTCGGGCCGATTCCCATTGAGTAATATTATTTAAAAAGTAATTTAAAATAATAATTTTGAAAATTTTTAAAGCGATGATATTGGAAAAGAAATTGTGACTGTTTACACTGTTGGCGGATGGGAAACAAATGGAAAATTCTTCACGGACTCGAACGGACGCGAAATTCTGGAGCGTAATCGCAACCTTAGACCAACCTGGGACTTCGACCCCTCCTTTGAACCTGTCGCCGGAAATTATTATCCAGTAACGACGACCATCTCTCTGAGAAATTTCGCCGCGGACTCTGCAGGCGAGGAATTCGCAGTTCTCACCGATCGTGCTCAGGGTGGTTCCAGTATTGAAAATGGAACGTTAGAAGTCATGGTAGGACAAAAGAAATTAAATTTTCAGCATAAATTAAATTATTTTGCCCAGTTGCACCGCCGACTATTGTTTGACGACGGCAAAGGCGTGTACGAAGCCTTAAACGAGACTGCTTTCGACAAAGGCCTGGTTGCGCGAGGAAAGCAAATTCTGTTGTTCGGCCAAACTCAGACAAGCCCCACTTCAATTTATTTGCAAAGACTGATATCCAGGGAAAATATGGTGCTCGCACCGTGGGTCTTTCTCACTCCGACCATTCTAAGTAGTTCAGAGTGGATTTCCAAGTACAACACTCTGGTGCGATAAATAATGCTTTTTTTTAAATAAAATAAAATTTACAATAATTTTTTTTCTAGTATTCGGGACTGAAGAAAGAAGTTCCCGGCAATGTGAATATCCTCACGCTCGAGCCGTGGGACGGAGATAAAATTTTGGTTCGTGTCGAGAATTTCATGGAGCAAAATGACGACCCTGAACTTTCACAAACTGCATATTTGCCCATACAAGTATAAAATTTATTTTTAATTAAATTGTAATTTAATCAATTAGTAATTTGCAAATTCAGGGGTTAATCGACAGAATAACTGATAACTTGGAAATCCGCGAAACCGTCCTGGGGGCCAACCAGTGGCTCGAAGATAGCGTCAGGTTGGAATTCAAAGTTGAGGGAGAGGACGGAAGTCAGCAACTTCCTCGGCCGGAGCCGGATGAGTTCAAGACAAACATCACGCTAAATCCTATGCAAATCCGCACATTCATTGTTCAGCCACCAACCGGTGGCGCAAACACCATTGCCCCGAGCGTGTTCAGCTTTGTGTCTATTTTTGCACTAACTCTGTGGAAAAATTTGGCCCAATATTAAATTCAATCCAAAAGTTAACTGTTTTTAATAAAATCTACTAAAAGTGTTCAATGTAAAAAATTATGTAACAATGCGAAAAAAAATAAACAACAGAAAATTATATCACCTAGTTTTTAATCAGCTCTAGTCTTTGTCGGTCTTTTTATATATTTTTTTATCAGATGTACCACAAAAAGTGACATATAGATAAAGATTAAACTATTATCTACCAAAAATATGTTTAGATAACAAGTTAACGTTATTGTCTCCTAATATTTACTCATTGATCAACCGAACGGTGAGCATTTCTTATACCTTTTTTTAGAATACACAAAATCACTTTCAATATAATTCACTGAAAATATTTGCTGTGCATTCAAAACAGGGAGATTTATTATTCTTTGCAAAAAGGGTGACAAAATTTAGAGACAAAGTTATTGTAAAAAATTCATTTTTCACAGATTAATTCGATTAATTCAATCTTTTGCAATATTCGTTAAAACTTACCTAAATTTTCAAATTAAAATGTAATATTTTCCCAACTGAAAAAGTAAATTAATCGTTTTTCGATTATCAATTCAAATGTATAACCAGAGAGATAATGGGCATATCTTTACGAGCCCACCACTTATTTGCCTAACAAGCAAAACACTTGAAAGACAGATTATTTTCCATAATAAATAAGAGGTTACAAAAGAGTTAAACTGATAGACTGCAGGTGCATTTGCACTGTGACCTCTGCGAGAGATGGGTGCGTTAAAAATTGGCTTGGCGCTGTTTTGCGCCACCGCGTTGGTCAACTCATCACCGTTGCCAAAGGCGGAAACTTGTGGATATGCGGTAAATATTGAACATTTTAAACGCAAAAATTCATTATTGTGTTTCAAAATTATACGTATCATGATTTTATTTATTTTTTCAACTCCATAATATACCATTTTCTTTGATAAAATTAAAATATTGAAAAATAGTTGAAATTTAATTTTAAATTAAAATTTTTTCAATAAATATATTGATTGGACAATTTTTTTACTAATTATTAGTCGTGCCAAGTCCCTATCGAAGGAATGACAAACGTGCACCTGATTGCACACACGCACGATGATGTGGGCTGGTTGAAAACTGAGGACCAATATTACTATGGCCATAGAAATAACATCCAACTAGCCGGTGTGCAGTACATCATTGACTCAGTTATTTCAGAGCTCCCGAAAGACCCGTCCAGAAAGTAAAAAAATATTTAAAAAAAAAAAAAGAGAAAAATAACTATTTGATTTTGACTTGTAGATTCATTTACGTTGAGACCGCTTATTTCCGTCAGTGGTGGGACCACCAGCCACAGGAAATTAGGGAAAAGGTCGAAGGGTTGATTGAGTCCGGCCAGTTAGAGATCATCAGCGGCGGATGGGCCATGCACGACGAGGCTGTGACCCATTATCAGTCTATTATCGATCAGTTCACATGGGGATTCAGGTTATTTTTTTAATTTTCTTTTCATTTTTCAACATTTTTAAATATTACGAAAAATGCAGGACGATCGATGACATGTTCAATACAACTTGCGCGCGTCCCAAAATCGGCTGGCAAATTGACCCCTTCGGTCACGCAAGGGAAACGGCCTCAATGATGGCCATGATGGGCTTTGATGGACTTTTCTTTGCCAGACTGGACGAGGCCGACAAACGAAACCGATTTGAAAAGAAAGAACTGGAACTTGTGTGGAAGGCAAGCGTAAACCACGGTAAAATAAAATAGAAAAAACTGGGTTATTTTCTAAATTTTTGCAACAAAAAAGGACCGTCATCATATCTGTTCACAAGCGCGAACCACGACTTTTATTATCCTCCAGCAGGATTTTGCTTTGACATTCTTTGTCGGGATGACCCAATTATTGACGATTTGTACAGTCCTGATTATAACGTGGACGCCAGAGTAAGATTTTATTATAAAAAAATATAATTCACAAAAACTAATATTTTTAAGGTTGACGGTTTTATTGAATATATTGAAAGGCAGAGCAGCTACATGAAAACCAACAACATTCTCGTCACAATGGGCACCGATTTCAGCTACCAGCAGGCTAGCTACTGGTATGACAACTTGGACAGGCTGATCAAGTAAAAATTTCTTTCTTTCATAATTATCTTGTATTAAAAATAAAAATATTTTAATCTTAGATATGTAAATGAGAGGCAGACGACTGCTGACGGAAAAATTAATTTGATGTACTCCACGCCATCGTGCTACTTGAAGGCCGTGCAAAATGCGGGCCAAACTTGGACAACTAAAGACGACGATTTCTTCCCTTACGCAAGTGACGATTACAGTTACTGGACGGGTTACTTCACTTCTAGACCGACCCTCAAATTTATGGAGAGGAAAGGCAACAATTTCTTGCAGGTCAATTAATTTCAAATTTTTTAATAAAATTTTTTTAATATTTCTTTTTGATCAGATTTGCAAGCAATTAAGTGTTTTGGCCGATTTACGAGAGGAAAAATGGGAGGATTTGGCCTCTTTGCGCGAGGCCATGGGAATAATGCAGCACCACGATGCCATCACCGGCACTGAAAAGCAGCACGTTGCCGAAGATTATGCTTTCAGGCTGCACAGGAGCATGGAACATTGTCACGAAACTACCAAAAACGCCCTAAAGTAAAATAATTTATTAAATTTATATTAATTTAATTTAATTTTACTTTTAGCAAACTGGCAATGAAAGTAGAAGCTGCTGAAAATCTTGAATTCCGCTCCTGCCTTTATTCGAATATTAGTCAGTGCGACGTGTCTGAAATCAGTGACCGGTTTGTGGTCACCTTATACAACCCTCTGGCTCAAGCTGCGTCTCCTTTCGTCCGTCTACCTGTCCGGGAATTTGCGTACCAAGTGCGAGATGAAATCGGTACGTTAAAAAATGAATAATATTTAAAATTGACAATTATTTTTAAAAAAGGTGCTGTGCTCTCAAACACGCAAATGATAAAAATTCCGACACCTGTTCTCACCATTCCCGGACGAAGCAGCCAAGCAACCCAAGAATTAGTGTTCCAAGCCATGGATGTTCCTCCGCTGGGATTTAAATCTTATCACATTACGAGAACAACAACCCCTCTGCAGCCACCGTCTTCCGTCAACGAATTCACCATCGCTAATGAGGTGCAAATTTCAAATTGAGTAAAAACATAATTATTTTTTTTAATTATTTAAGGATATTGAAATTACTTTCGACCAAGATACAAATACGCTCTCGTCGGTGAGAGATATCGCGGCCGACAAAATCTACTCCATTACGCAGGACTTCCAATTTTATAAAGCTCGCGCAGGAACTAATTTGCAGCCCAGCACACGAGCGTCCGGCGCTTATATTTTCCGGCCTCTGGACCACAAGAAATTCCCTGTTTCAAACAGTCCCCCTACTTTGGAAACTTACAAAGGTACAACGTTTATTTTTTAATTTGCTAAAAAAAATATATTATATTAAGCATGTAAAAATAAAATTAGTAAATTAAAACAAAATAAAACATTTTAGGCGACTTGGTGAATGAAATTCATCAAACGTGGAATGAGTGGATTAGTTCAGTAACAAGAATTTACAAGGGTAGCAAAGCCATTGAGCTTGAATGGACTGTGGGGCCAATCCCTGTAACGTGAGTTAAAGAATTATTTAATTATTGTTCATACTCTTTAATTATATATCACAAAATTTGTTTATAGTGACTTGCAGGGAAAAGAGGTCGTTACCCATATGAAATTAGATGGCTGGGAAACGCTGGGCAAATTCTACACCGATTCGAACGGACGAGAAGTTTTGGAGCGCAACAGGGATTTGAGGCCGACGTGGGACTTCAACCCCGAATTTGAACCGGTGGCTCAAAATTACTACCCGATCACCACGACGATTTCTCTGCGAAATCACGCCGCCGACAACAACAATGAAGAGTTTGTGGTGATCACGGACCGCGCTCAGGGAGGATCGAGCATAGAAAACGGAACTTTGGAATTAATGGTGCTAAAAATTAAATTTTAAAATATAGTAAATTGAATTTTAATTGCAAAGCTTCATCGCCGGCTTCTTTTTGATGACGACAAAGGAGTTGGAGAAGCTTTGAACGAAGAGGCATTTGCCGACGGTTTGGTTGCTCGGGGGAAACACATTTTGCTGTTTGGACAGACCCAGGATCATCCGACGTCGCTCTACAAACAGAGGCAGCTGACCAGAGATAACATGGTGTTGGCCCCCTGGGTTTTCTTGACCCCGACAACCCTCGCAGCAACAGATTATCAATCAAAATACAACACTCTAGTCAGTGATGCATTTAATGTGATGGGAAAATTAATTAATTAATTATTTATTAACACACAGTACTCCGGATTGATGAAGGAAGTTCCCCCGAATGTAAATCTGCTCACATTGGAGCCGTGGGGAGGTCCCGACGGTGACCAAATCCTTGTGCGGGTTGAGCATTTCTTGGAACAAAGTGACGACCCTGAACTTTCAACTCCGGCCTTTGTTCCCATAATGGTATTTTCTTAATTTTTTAATAAAATTTAATTTTTAAATCGTTTAATTTGCGGTAGGGCTTGATTGAGAGGATCAATGATAATTATTTCGTTCGCGAAACCACTCTGGGAGGCAACCAGTGGCTTGAGGACAACGTCCGGCTGGAGTTCAAGGTGGAGGGCGAAGATGAAGTTAGCCAGCAGCTGCCCAGACCCGACCCCAGCGAGGACGCAACCAACATCACGCTCAACCCCATGCAAATTCGCACGTTCATCATTCAATCGAGAAGCGGTGCAATTTCAAATTTTCCTAATTTGATCAGTTTGGCTGCTCTATTGGCGCTTGCCTTGTGCAGGGCTTTTTTGTAACTAGGTAGAAAGTAGAAAGTTTTAAATTAATTATATATTTTATAAGTGCATGGACTGTTTTATTAAAAAAGATTTTTTTCCCAAACTGCTTCCAAGTAATAATGGAAAAAATATGAATCTAAAAAGTGGCTTTATTTAATATTATAGTATTTTAAAATACACTTTCATGTAATTTATAAATAATTCTGGTGAAAATTTTTTCATACTTTTTAACATAGAATTATATTATAATTTATCGATAAATTATTCAATTGAAAAAAAATTCACTAATTAATTCCAATTTTTCGTCTCTACTATTCAATTTTTTTTTTCATCTTTTTATTTGGAAAATTTTTATTAAAATTATTATTGTCATAAATTAATACTTTTTGCCTCTTGCTGTATGTGTGAGATTGCAGAATTCATCATTGATAAGAAAGTTTTTGAATTTTTTAGATATTACGTATTTTTCAAATCATTTACCATGACAACTTTTATTACCATTTTTCCTGGACCTCACCAGATTGGTTTTCTCTCCTTCCTTCTCTCATGTCCCATGTGCTGTTAATTCCACATTCCTTCACCGCCACTTTTCAAACGTTTTGGCGCTCCGACGCGGCGGCAGTGAATTGAAGCTGAATCTCGCGCAGGTGCGCATGCGTCATCGTTGAATGATGCTCAGTTGTTGGGCACAATGGAAACCAGTGTTTATTTGGCAACAACAATGTGCATTTGAAGAGAAATTCTTTTCATTTTTCCTCCCTTCGTCACTTTCCTCCGGAGGTTGTGCACTCAAGACCTTTCTCAAGTGCCACTGCGACGACTGAACCATTAAAAATGTAAGTATTTGGTCCGGAGATGCCAGAATTCGAGCCTCACAATCACAGGCCCTTTAACCGAATTCTTCGCGGATGTAGCGAATTCTCCCAAGAATACGTTCGCTTTCTCGCTATTTTCGTTTTCAAAACGAATCAACCGTCAGAATTTCCCATTCGGCTCCGAAATCCGTCGAAATTTTGGTCTAATAAGCTGAAAAAACGTCTCTTCGGGCACACCTTTTCCTTTGGCTGGCTTTTAACCCAATTTTTGTTAAATTTATAAAATCGTATTTCCCACTTCAGGCCGATCCAGAAGCGCGGCGACAAGATGAATCAGCTCTTCGAAAGGCGTCTGATGATGCACGTAGCCCCCGTCCAGCAGCAGCCGCAACCTCAGCAGTCGTACTCGAGGAACCTGCAATTCTCGGCCATGAGGAACGTCGCCGTGAGAAACCTGGAGCGGGACTTCGACGCCGAGAACGAAAACTCGTACAACAACAGCGGCGAAAACTTCACGAGTCCACCGAATTTTGTGGACAACGAGGAGCAGCTTCGCGGCCAGTCCCGACAACTCACCTCCGTGGTCACAATGTGGTCCAGCAGTTCCTATTCGGCGTCGCCCAACAAGGCGTCCCCCAAGCAGGACGTCTACAGCGACAGATACATCCCTTTCAGGCAGGGCAACAACTGGGAGACCAAATTTCCCATGATTTCGGTGAGGAATTTAATTCTAATTTAAATATTTCTGCGCCTTATTTTCACATAAATCAAAAAGTAATTTCTATAATTTTATGGTTTCTAAAAAAGAAACTGCCCAAATTATTTTGTAATTTTTATAATTTTCTTCTTGATTTTTTTTACCAAGTTGAATCATTAATTAAATTCCCAACAGCAACTGATTTTAATAGATTAAGATAGACAATCGAAGTTTTTATCATGTCTGTTGTATTCAAATCAAATTTAAATTGGCGACAACAATAACTTATAAATAGATTATTTTTCCTTTTATTTTGAGTGTCCGGCTAAAACCCCTCAGGCGCCACTAATATTTAGTATTTTAAATAATCATTAGGCATTTAAAGTTCCCCTATTAAATCACTGACGACAACAACAAATCAGACATTAATCAGTTATAAAGGTTTTAGCGTCTCGCCTTTATCGATAAAAGCAATGATTGCTGATAATCGCTCGTGACGTCGGTCATGAAAACAGTCTTTGAACTTGTGGAATGCGCGACCGTTGAAACATGACATTAACATTGGGTGCTTATTTCTATAAATAATGCATGACGATTTTATTTAAATGTAATGCAAACCGCTGGATATTTTTGTGTTTATTTATTCAAGGCGTCCGTTATTATTATTGTGAATAATTTAAAGTGCTCGGAATTAATGAGCGTGGTCATTTCCCCAGGACGAGCTGGCCAGCCAGGACAACAACAGGAATGGTTTGAGCCCGAAGAGGAGCAAGGAGAGTGACGGAAGCAAGGACGGAGCAGCGTACACTTGTCTACTGAAAAATGAGCTTTTAGGCACGGAAATTGATGACGTGAAAGCGCAGACTGATAACAAGAAGCAGACGGGGCCAACCGAAACAAACAACCTCTTTAGGGTGGGTTTTCAGTATTTTTCACAAATGCAACTTTTAAAACATAAATTAGTTAACATCATTGTGTTAAGAGGAATTTTGCTTCACTTAAAACAGACACTCTTAAAAAATATTTTAAGAACACAATTTAAATTAAAAGGATACAAGTGATTTGATTATTTAAAAATTTTAAAAGAAGACCTCGGGCTTTTTCTTCGTTGAAAAAATTATTTTGGTATAGCCTTAGTTTTTTAATTAAACAATTTTTCAACGAGGAAAAAGCCTGAGTTCTTAATTTCCATGATCATCTCCTTTTGTGTCAATTTCTTCAAACAAATGTTTAATAATTGTTTTGAATAAAACCATAACTATTGATTTTTTTATAATTACAGTATAAGTCACCGAGGAAGAATTTCCTCATCAACGACAGCAACTCGCCATACTCCCTCTACCCTGTCAGTCCAAAGAGTCAAAAGCTGTTGTGCTCGCCTCGAAAAGCAACCAGGAAAATATCACGGATCCCCTTCAAAGTACTGGACGCGCCTGAGCTGCAGGACGATTTTTATCTCAACCTGGTCGACTGGTCGTCTCAGAACGTTCTGAGCGTCGGCCTCGGCAGCTGCGTCTATCTGTGGTCGGCTTTCACTAGCCAAGTCACAAGACTCTGTGATCTCTCCAGCGACACAAACTCAATCACAGCCGTCGCATGGAACCAAAGGGTATAATAATTGCCTCAAATATGTTGCTTTGGCTAATTATAACTCTTTTTCTTTCTCTCAGGGAAATCTGGTTGCGGTGGGAACGAATCATGGATACGTTCAAATTTGGGATGTTGCGGCCAACAAGCAAATCAACAAATTGCAAGGCCACTCCGCCCGTGTTGGTGCCCTCGCTTGGAACGGCGAAGTCCTCTCCTCCGGCAGCAGGGACAGAGTCATACTGCAAAGAGACGTCCGAACGCCATGCCTTATTCCCGAAAGAAAGCTGGTCGGCCACAGACAAGAGGTCAGAATTCTATTAATAATTCAAAAGAATTTAGCTCAAAATTGGTGTTTGTAGGTGTGCGGCTTGAAGTGGTCACCCGACAACCAGTATCTTGCCTCTGGAGGCAACGACAACAGGTTGTATGTGTGGAACCTCCATTCCCTTCAGCCAGTCCAAACCTACTCGGAGCACTTAGCAGCTGTGAAAGGTAAAAAACAGTTAAAAAGAAATTAATAAATTAAAAATTAAGCGTTATTGTAAATTAAATCATGAAAACTTTAACGCTATTATTTTATAAAACAAAATTTCTTAAATAATTAATAAAGTATTAAACAATTATTTTATAAAAATATGATGGCCAAATGAATTTTGCATTTTATTGATTTACTAAAAAAATAATTGCAGCAATCGCCTGGTCACCGCATCACCACGGCCTGCTGGCTTCTGGTGGTGGCACGGCAGACAGATGCATCAGGTTCTGGAACACCCTCACTGGCCAGCCTATGCAGTGCGTCGACACCGGCTCTCAAGTGTGCAACCTGGCCTGGTCAAAGCACTCTTCAGAATTGGTACGGTTGATTTTAGTAAGAAATGTGTGTCCATTATTAACAATCCTCCATTTTTCAGGTGAGCACCCACGGCTACTCACAGAACCAGATACTCGTTTGGAAGTACCCAAGTCTGACCCAGGTGGCCAAGCTGACTGGTCACTCGTACCGAGTGCTCTACCTGGCCATGTCTCCGGACGGAGAGGCTATTGTGACTGGAGCGGGAGACGAAACTCTCAGGTTCTGGAATGTTTTCAGCAAAGCAAGGTCACAGAAAGTAAGTACTGTTGTTAATGTCACATTTTATTCTTAAACAAACAAAATTCTTTAATTAAAATTTGCGGCTCATTAATGGGTACAAAATTTTTCAGGAGAACAAATCTGTGCTTAGTCTATTTAACAACATCCGATGAGTGCCCTGATTTCCCAAATCATACATTTCCTGGAGGAAGTGTTCCCCGTCGTTTCAATAGTTATCATCTACCTGCGGTTTTTTTTGCATATTTTCGCAACATATTGCGTGATCGGTTGCTGCTCGTTTTGCGGAAAGAGGTTTTATTGTCTATATTATATTCCAACTTCTATGTACATTTGCTATCAGAAAAAGAGAATCTTTATTATTTCGCATATTATGCTATTTTACGTTTACTGTGATGTGTGCTCGAAGAGTCTGTAGATGATTTAATAAATGTACATAATTCAAATTGTTCCGAATGCCTGCTCACAAAACGACAGGCTGTATAATTTGTGGGGAGTTAAGTTGAATAAGAAAACAAAAAAAAGTAATGTAATTGAGTTGCTAAATAAATAAACCATTGTCAAAAAGGGATAAAAATTATATATCTGCATATTATTGCATTCCCCCCTCATAATGAGTAGCCAGCTTAATTTCAGTTTAGTGAATCACGTCTGAGATCAGACTGAAAGAAGTTGTTTATTATGGAACTATAATTAGAAGTGTGATACACAGACAGCTTCTCGCGCCACCCACTCGATTCTCTTGGACGACATTCACCCCTGCGCGCAATATTCTGGAAGTCTTCCGTTCAGAAAGGCAAAGAATACGTCACCGTGGGGTTCTATTTAAAAACCGCATATTGGCTCCAACTTCCATTCGCCAATTTTAACCCGCTCAGTTGACAACCGACTCTCTTAGCTGCCACTTCAGCCGTAAACCACTGAAAATTTAAATTTTCTTCAATTTTTCATTGAATAAGTTTTTAGTGCGGAAACATGTCGATGGTGCCGATGATGTTCAGGGACTGGTGGGACGATTTTGAGTTGCCTCGCTCCCGTCTTTGGGACAACAGCAACTTCGGCCTGGGTCTGCACAGGGACGACCTCTTCCGCGCCCACAACAGCATGCTGCGCCCGTGGACAAGGAGACAACAGAGCGCGATTGTCCACCCCATCCAGACCGAAACCGCCAACGCAGACAACTCTGTCTACAGCACCGTCCTCGACGTCAGCCAGTTCACACCAGCAGAGCTCAGTGTTAAAGTATATGAAATTATTTCAAATAAGTTATGTACTTAAAAATTAATGAAATTATTATATATAGGTTCAGGGCAATGCGGTGGTCGTCGAAGGAAAACACGAAGAGCGCGCCGACGACCACGGATACATTTCTAGGCACTTTGTGCGCCGCTATGTGCTTCCTGAGCAGTACGACCTGGATCAGGTCAATTCGAGCCTTTCATCTGACGGCGTCTTGACCATTTCTGCGCCAAAGAAGGTAGGAATTCTATTATTTAACGTTTAAGAAGACATTGGAAATATTCAACGTGACTCATCCAGACAGAGAAAGGGAATATTTATTTATATTAGAATTGGCCTTACGCCAAGATTCCTAAAAGCAGTTTTGTATCTTTTTAGAAAGAAACAATTGCCGTCTGGACCAAATTTATTTCTTTACTTTATTTATGATACTTTTTTTGCAGTGTTTGCCGGGCAGCGGCGAACGAGTGGTTCTCATTCAGCAAACTGGAGTTCCAGCCGTGAAATCGGCGGCGGTCACAAATGAGCCGACCATCACTCACCCACAAACGCCACAACCAATTTAATTCTGTGTTGCAATTTAAAACTTGATGATTATGTTTAAATCGCTAAAATATCTTTTATTTTGGCTATAATCTTTGTATTTATTTTATGCTTATAATAATTAAATTTAAATGTTAAAAAAAGTTTTTTTTCTTTCTTTTATGACTGGGGTACTTTATTAAATCAGAAGTTCACAATGTTTACATGCAAAGTTGCCAATTAGTAATGAGAATATTAATATTGTTTACATTCATTATTCTTTTTTTTCATTAATTTTTCATAACCACACAGTAAAGGTAAATGTAGTGTAATAATTATTATATTCTGTTTTATTATGATGACATTGTACACTTTTTAAACGCACATGAATATATTCAAATTGAGTACTTAATTTTTCTTTTTAATTAAAAATTTTTTTAGAAATTTTGTTATCAAATTTTTACATCAGTCGATTAAAAATAAAATTTAAAAATTAGAACATTGTATAAATAAATGATACTAAGCTAAAAATGAAAACAAAAATATCAAAGTCGAAAAAAAAGTTACATCCAGCAATACATGTAGACCAAAAAATAAATTCTCAATTATAAAACGCGTACAGGTAGAAACGGCATTGGTGTGTTCTAATTTTTTTGTATATTTAATACAAAAAAAAAAGAAAATAATAATAGAAAGAGAATTATTTGAAATTAACGGAAATTAACACTGATTTTAAACTTTAAGAGGAAAGAAAAAGAATAAAGAGGGAAGAAAAATAATTATAAATAAAAAAACGGAATATATGGTGGGGAAAAATATTAATAACCTGATAAACAATTAATGATCAGTCTTATTGTTCCTTGTTCCCATAAACGATTTATATCTTTTAGACTAAATTTACGCCAATTCTTATCTCAAAAGGAACATGCCATATAAAATTCACACAATGTTTTATACTACCACTTCATTTAGTACTATTATAAAATTTTGTTACAAATTTTTTTAAAAAAGAACAATCTACACTTATACAAATTTTTTTTATCGATTCGCACAATGAAAACAATGAAAAGTCGTATGATATAATATTAAATAGTGTGGTAAATATTTATAACCGCAGTAAATATTTTGCGTAGTTTAGTTTTAAATAACAAAATTATTTGGAACATAGAAATAATAAAAAAGAAAACTAAGGAAATAAATTATAAAAGAAAAACCAAAATAATTAAAGATTCAATATTTTATTTCACTTCCAATCATAAAAACCAAGAACATATTAAATCAAAATATAAACAGAGGATGGCTAATGAAAATGAATGCTGCAAGCCTAGAATGCAAATTGCATCTATAAATAAATCGGGCGCAACTTAAAGCGGTTGGTGACCAATTTTGTTCCGGTCAGCATTTGAGCTACTGCGATACTTGCTCGCTGCAGGAAAGTACTGCGGCACCTAAAATGCCGGCCGGAGGGACACATTACTTACAAGTTGTGCAAATACACACGAAAGTTCGAAAGGCACAAAATGACTCGTAAAAGTAAATACGACAACCAAACTTAAAGGCTACGATTATTGATTATTGTTGCACATGGGAATAGGGTAGATTATAATATATTGCAGTAGTTAAAAATTGGGATAAAATACTATGGTGACCCACAAAACGCGTGATTAATTTTATCGATATATTTGATTAAAGTACACACCAAATAGGAATATTTGAAAACTGTAAGCATTGAACATCAAATTGCTAAAATCTAACCAAAATACTAAAACAACAAAACACCCAAAATTGTGGTCAATTTCAAACACCAAGAAACAGTAAAATGCAATATTCAGATAATTTATGTATATAGCCAAGGAAAACTCCCACCCTCATTAATGTGACCAACAAAGGTTCCATCTGCAATATATTAAATTTAAATGTTCAATTTTTCAAGCCCATTTGTTCTTTCAGAGTCACAACTTTTACTATTTTAATTATTTTTTGGCATATTAAGTAAAAAAAAAGCGTCAGTCTAAACTTCGAGTCTCATCAGGAGATGTGTAATGTGAAAATGATTGGAGGCAAATGAATTTTGTGCTTTTACGAGATGGTCCCTCAGTTTAGACCGTGGTGACTGGCAGGCTTGGCGGAGTGGCTTGGCACCTCTGACTTGACGGTGTCAAAGTGATGCACCTCAGGGTGCGGCTTGACCGCTGGTATGTTGTGCATCACGATAGGAACAGTCTTGGTTTTGACGCCACTCTCGTGAACTTCAGTCTAGAAAAGCCAAAATTAAATATATAATTAGTTTTATTTATTTATATACATTTAAAAAAATTTAATAAAAAAAGAATAAAAATTAATTGAAAAACATATTGATTATTTTAAAGTAGAATTAAATAAATAAAATTAATAATTGGTTTAAAATAAATGAATAATAATTAAAAATTTAATATAAGTTAAAATATAAAAAAATTATTTTAATGTTATTTAAATAATATAAATATAAAATATGATAAAATATGATAACTCAACAAAATTATTTTCTAAAATTGAGATTATCTTGGAGATTTCATTTAATTAGAGTTTAATTTTAAAGCGATGTACCTACTATTTTAATAATAAAAATAAACAAATTAAAAAAAATGCTGTAGTTTATATTGTAATTTTTTTATCAATTATTCAAATTAAAGTGAATTACATGAATTAAGAAAAATTTTATTAACAAGATAAATTCAAATTTAAAATTACCTTAGGAGCTGCGATGGACAGCACTCCGTCCGAGGACAGTGAGCATGCGACGTGATCGACGTCGTAATCGTCAGGCAGGACGTAACGCCGGACGAAGTGTCTGGAAACGTAGCCATGTTCGTCGGGGCGCTCTTCATGGCGTCCCTCGATGGTGACGGTGTTGCCGACAGTCTTGACGCTGATTTCGCGCGGCCCAAATTGGTGCACGTCGAGCGACACCCGGAAGCCGCCAGGTCCCTCGCAGATGGTGCCCAGGGTCTGGATAGGGGGTTGGCCGGCGTGGGGCACGAGGGAGGCCGAGGCCACGGCGTTGGGCCACAGCATGGCACGCATCAGATCCTCGTAGGTCGACATTATTGGTGATGGGGTTTAGTGACTCTGAAATGAGTTGGATTTTGCCAATTAGAAATTTTGTCAGATATAAAATTATATAAAGTAAACAATTTACGAAAATAAAGAAAAGTATTGAAAAATTACAGCACTTCCAATAAAAATAAATATGTATTAAAAAAACTACAATGCTTTTAAATGGGAGATTTCAACGCCTGCAACATAGCTCCGTAATTAAAAAAAAACTTATTAAGGTTTGCTTTGAAAAAAAGGTATTGAATTAATTAGTAAGACGAGAACTCCTCTGATGTAATGAAAGTTTTGGAATTTAGAAAAAAATCGAAAATCTTTCTTTTAATTAATTAAAATTTAAAATAATTAATTAAAAAGTAAATTTAGTAAATTCATTAAAAAAAAACCTTACAAATAACATAATAAAGTTTTAAGAAGCTCTTTTGAGAACAATTTTAACGAAAAGTCAAAATTCAAAATCAAAATTTTAGTTACCACGGGAGTGCGTCTACTGCGCTCAAAGTTTCCTGAGAGACTGCCCGGCCGGTGCCGACGCCGAGTGCAGCAGAGAACCCGACCCGAGATATTTTCGAACCCCTACCCCAAGGCAGCCCTTTAAAAAGCACCCCAGCGTTGCCGGCGCTCCTCGCCTGCCCGTGTCACGCTCTCATTGGTCGGCACACGTGCCGGGCCGTTCCTATTGGTGCCGACACGTGTCGGACCATTGCTCTTCCGATAAGGAATGGAAAGCCGGTTGAGGGCCGTGGAAAGAGCGAGAATAAAACGCAGCCGCGGCTGCTAGAAAAATCGATGCAGTGCAGGCTGCATAAGTGCATAACACGTAAAATATTGGAGCGCTGCGCTCTGTCTATGAGAATGGAATAAAAAGGAAAAAGCGTTCGTACGCGAGTCGCAAGTGATACAGACAAAAATTGTGCTAGATTTTAATGTGAATAATAAAATAATAATAAAAAGCGATTTCTCCTTATTAAAAAACGACCAAAAGAGGCTCCAAAATTTAAATGTATATAATTTATTAAGAGATATAAATTGTTAAAAATTAACAAAAATCAAACCAAAATGAAAAATAATAAAATAATTAAATCTGCGCAGTTGAAAAAAGTAAGATTTAGGCGCAATTTAATGCAAGGATAATTATCGGGTTTTATAATTTCCAGCTATTTGTTGTCAAAGGCGTTGGAAATAATTATAATAATGTCAGATAAAAACGAAGGAGAAAAGAATTTATGGAAGTTTCAGGCGTAAATTAAATTTAATTCAAAATATAACAAAATCCAAAAGAATAATCATTAGAAGTTCTTTGTGTTTAGAAAAAAATCATAATTCCTTGATTAAAATTAAAAAAGCAAAATCCAACTCACAGTTCGAATGATGAACCAGGAGCTGGTCCCCGGAATGTGTCGTTCCAGGTCCCCCAATCCGAACTAGTACCCGACCCTCGTTCCGCCAAGCTTTTATAGAGACCCCACCAAATTCTCGAAAAATCATATTCGGGATGCGTGCGCTGCGTTTCGAGTTTCGACACCAGAACGCTCTGGAAAAGTGGCCGAACCCACCCCTAAATTGGATTAATCCAGAGAGAAGTCCCTGCGTTATTTTCGGCACGTCATCTTCCCAAAGGGGGTGGTTTCACCCGCGGCTTCCCGGCGCGAGCCCGGTGCGCCAGGGCGGACATGGGATGTGTGCGCCGCGGCACGTATGCACCTCACAGAGAATGCATTTTCTTAAGGCCCTCCGATGCAGTTCTTTCTAGAAGAAAAGCACCAGACCGTGCTGAGCGGGCCTGACTAAAATGCGCCGCACGGACTATTTTTGGGAGGTGTATTTCTGTTTACTCTTAATTCAGGCTAAATTAACGCGCATTTTTTTGTTACACATGCACGATGTGTTTTTGATTTGACTTTGTTGTTGAGCATGATTTGTTTTAATCAAATTTAATGAATTTCCACAATATCAGATAACAGCAATAGAAATATGTTTGCCTTCACCACAATATTATTATTCAAAATAATATTTTTTGTTGATTTTAATTTTCATCTATTACTAATTGATGAAGAAACAAAAATAAATAATATAGTAAACAAAATATATTTTTATATTTAATTAAAATATATAATTTATAAACTTTTTTTGTATTTTATAAATTTAAAAAAAAAATATTATTAAAAATATAACAGAGTTTAAAACTTTTATTATTTTTTGCTTAATTTCTATTATTTCAAATCAGTTTGCTACGCCTTTTATGCGTTAATTTTATGCAGTTAATTAAATTAACAAAATTTATTGTTAATATTGTATCTTTTTTAATGAAAATATTATTTTCAGTTAAAATTTAAGTCCTATTCTGAACTATAAAAATTAAACCATTGTTACTAGAGAACTAAATTAGAAATTGAAAAATAAAGAAGTAATTCAAAACTAAATTATGATTCCTCTCAGTTCCAGATTTGAATTACTTTTTCTGTTGGTTACATTTCGTGCAATAATGCGCTTTGATAATGAAAATGAAATACTAATCAAAGTTTATCATTGTTTCATCATTCATTTTTAATTTTGTCAATATTAAATTATGTTTTACGCATGATCAAATTATTTTATACAGTCAAAAATTGAAGATTCAAATATTTTTGCATTAGTTTTAAAGTTTAAATTGAAATAAAACGAAGGAAATCTTTTGCTCTTTTTCTCGATGCATTTTGGTGCAGTTGCGGTTTAATGCATCTGCAGTTGAGGAAGCCGGCTATCGTAAATTCGAGAAACTTTTGGTGCATTCTGTACGCACACATACTACGCAGCAAACTTTTGATCAATGCACCCTGCGCTGTGCAGCTAAAAACGACCGGCCCGACTGCAGCGAGCGGCGCTCGATTTTACCACGCCGGTCTCGAATATGCTCACAAAATTCGGCTTCCTGCGGGGCTGCTGCATTTTCGCCCTTCATGTGACCGTCAACGTTATTACATTGTTTTATCGAGCGACTCCCTGCTTTTTACGCAGCACGCAGGAAAAGAGTTCTGAGAGAACGAATGCAATTAAAATTTTTTCCTCCAGTGCCTGTTTATTTTTAGATCATGAAGATTTTCTATTTTTAATTGATTAAAAGCTTTTTTAATAATAACTTCTAGAAAAGTAGTAAATAATCAAAAGATATTTTTATTTTAACATAAAATTTATTATTTAAATTAACATTCAATGTTATTTATTTTTATTATTAAAATTGTGCAAGAATAAAATTTTATAACAAACTAGCGGAAAGAGATGTTTGTAATATCTTAATGTACAATTAATAAATAAATATTATATTCAAATAATTGAAATTTATATGTCAGGAAAGTAAGTTTAAATTCCCAAACTATTTATTGATTCCACTAATTTTTCAGCGTGGCTTTTCCAAGCCGGCCAGTTTATATGTTTCCCGTTTTGTTCTAGGCAATCAACCCTTGTGCTTTTCTATACCTCCAATTTTTGGCCATCCACTATTATACAGACGAGGGGGTCCTACCCCAACGTTTTTAATACAACTTCCAGCAGTTTCTATAGTACAGACTCTCCACAATTTTATACTCTTCTCATAGATCTGATTACCGCCCCATAGATCTCTGCGTGTTCTTGTAGCAGTCAAATGAGTCAAACCATGGAATTAATACACCGATGATTGTCATATTGAGAGTTGCGAACTGTTTTTTCTCCATTTATTAGATATATTTTTGGTATTTTCATTCAATTCATATATTATTCAAACTTATTCATCCATTTTTTAGTTAAAATGTTTTTGATAATAAAGACGAGAATAAATAAAAAATTTAACGGAATTTAAGCCAGCCGCTTTTTTTTTTGCTTGCTTTTAACTCCGATTAGAATATATTCAATTTTACTAATCAGACATAATAAATCCGCTAATGTAAATAATTCTTGTTATGCCTAAAATTTCCTTTCGACTTTCGAAGCATCTCGGTAATCTTGAAAGTGAATTCACGAGAAAATTGGCTGCTTCGAATTGTGATAAGCAAAGTTCAAATTTTTATAAATTCCAACAGCAAAATTCTTGAAATGTTTTACTGGCGTGACTAGCGTCAAATTGTTATTTAATGCATGGCTTATTTCATCTATTTTTTCCTTTACTGCTCTTTGTACCTTTTTATTAACAATCCTAACTTTTCATTATTACTGATCATTTCGATTCATTTGGTAAGTGCAAAAAATAATGGTCATAATATTTAAGTAAATGCCTGCAAACTTTATTGTTTCATTTGAGACTACAAACATTCATTAATACAAGAGATTACAGTACCTGAGAGGAAACATTTATTATTCAGTCTTGAAATCTCAAAGTCTTGCTTTAATTCTGGCAATTGATAATGAGTGATTAAAACAAGGAAATCCCTAGATACAGGGTAAGCGCAACATTGAACGATTCATAAGAAGCTAATTAGGGCAGGGACTAAACTGCATCTTTTAATTAATTAGTTAGTTAGTTAAGCACAAAGTACGGCAAAGTTAAATGTGGGAAATGCAGGCGGGTGTATAATCAGCAGGCTACCGAGGAAGGCGCCTCACTTGGCGATCTCGGCGGGCTTGACGGCAGGGACGCCGGTCTGCACAATTGGAATGGGCTTCTCGTTGGATCCCGGAGCAGGGAGAGCCTGAAACAAATTAGCAGAAAATATTTAAAAATCGTTTTCACAGTTATAAATTTCAATAAAAATTTAACAATAAATTGGAATATCAGGAATTAAAAAGTTTGCAGAAAAATTTATACCTTCTTAGGAACAACGACGGACAAGATGCCATCAGTGGAGAGGTTGCACTGAGCATTGTCAATGTGCACGTCCTTGGGCAGGACGTAGCGGCGCACGAAGTGGCGCTGGATGTAGCCATGCTCGTCCTGCTTCTCCTCGTGCTTGCCCTCGATGGTGATGACGTTGTCCACGGTCTTGACGGTGACCTCCTCAGGCTTGAACTGCTGCACGTCCAAGTTGACCTGGAACTTGTCCTTGTCGTTGGTCACGTTGGAGACGCCGCTCTGCTGGCGGGTGAGGTGACGCCAGGGACGGTAGTAGGGGCGGCTCATCATGGGTTGGTACAGGTCATCGTTGAGGAGGCCCAGGCCGAAGTTCTGGTCGAACAGGCTCAGAGGGCGGCTGGATTCGTCGAAGAACATGGGAATCAGAGACATCTAAAACAAAATAGAATTAATTAAAAAATTGCAAATTTCAAAACGATTCAATTAAAACCATTTTCCGCAATTAAATAGAGATGGTATATCGTGGATGCATATGAAATGTAATAAATGAACGTATGTAATCAAGAAACTTACTTTGAAAATTGAAGAGTTTGGGGTTGCTCGGCGAAAGAAATTGAACGACTGCAAAGGCAAGTTTGCTGTGACTGATACACTTTTGCCGCCGGTGGAGGGGTTTATATAGGACTGGTGACGTCACGAGAACTTTCCAGAGGGTGCGAGTGGGTGCGAGAGCCTCCGCCACCTATCTAGAAAATCCGAGAACATTCACCCCGGTTATCTTGAAAGTTTAAACCGGTATAAAAACTGAGACGAACGTTTTAAAACGAGTTATACTAAGACATTGCGATTGATTAAGTTTTTTGATGGCAATAATTTAATTAAAATACACTTTAGTACCATTATAACTTACGTTTGGAAAATTTTAATGGTGATTTCAAATTTCTAAAGAATTTTTCCGCCAAATATTATACCGGTTATTTACAGTACATTTGCATAAACCCTTGTCAAAGAACTTAAATTTACTAAAACAAAGAAATCTTTAATCAAATTTGTCACATCTTGTAATTTTACTACGTAATTTTACAAAATTACACCTTCCTTTGTGTTATTTTTGAAGCAAAAAATTGCAAATTCTCAATCCTCGCGGTAAAAAACCTGGGTTGTTGTTGATAAAGTTCCTTCAATTTCCTCGAGGTGGCTCCACTGCTCGAGTTAGAAAAATCCGATAAACAAGGTGAATCATATGATCGTCCGAAAATTCTTGCAGGGGAGGCTTAATTTTCCGAATTTGAACTTTCCAAAATCACCAGCCTGAAGATGCATTGAATTACCCGATTGGCAGGACCTTCAGGACCAGCAAGAGCACAAACGTCCTTCGGTAAGTACCTGCAAAACTCACCCTTTCAACTTCTACGTTGGATTGCATTAGGGGTTGATCGGGAAGTACAACGTGGGAAACCATTACGGTGACCCAATTTCCGCTAAATCCTCTGCAATCCCGGCGGAATTTTCTACAGCAATAAATTTCGAATGCATTTTTAATTGACGCGTTAAATTTATTTTAAAATTTGTGAAGATTCGACTGATATTGGAAGCTAAAATTTTTATCTGAAAATTGTGAGCAAGCTTTCTTAATTACTTAAATTTCACCATTTTTAAAGTTAATTTCTTACAAAATCCAGAATAGTTTGCTTAATATTTTGCCGCAAAATCAGCTTCAAGCAGTTATATAATCGCCGGCTAATGAAACCTCAATCAATTAAAGAAATCAATGAGAAATTTCAATTTTCGGTTCAGTTCAATTCGCCACAGCTTTTTGCTTTTTACAACCTTCGCGGTATTGCATAAACACCTTTCAATAATAAGTACGTAATCGAATTGATGCCATTAAAATAAATGCCTTCTTTTGAATGGATTTGCCTCCATAAATTCCGACTTGATGGCGACAATTTTTTTTATTCACTCACTTTCGTGGTCATGATCGAGCACTTTAAAAAACAATTCACCTTGGCCTTAATAGAAAAGCGGCTGTGGACCCCTTTAAAAGTTGATTGACCCACTTTTTGGGGTGTGACCATCAAAAGTGAGGAGAGAGAGAGGCCTTGACCATCACCTAGAGGCTGAATGAGTCTCGTCGTCAGGCTGGCTGGAGGAGCTTCCAGCCGAGGAACGGGTCTTCCCAGTAAATGATGATCACGCCTCAAATGCTGGTTTTTTTTTTAAGTTTTACTGCCAGTGGAATGGGAAGAATAAAATTATCATTGAAGTCATCTTCTTAACTTGAAAATTTATGGAATAGATGAAATTTTCTTGAATTAATATTGGTTGATCCTACAATCTGTTCTGAAAATTTTAATTGGCGCTAATTTTTTGCGGAATTTTGTGTGAGGCAGTTGAATCTGGCTGTTGAAACAAATTTATAAATGAAGGCAATTTGGAAGAATTTATTTGGATTTATATAAAATAATTAAATTATTTTTGTTTGTTTGTTCAAATCATGAAAAATAAAATGTTTTAAAGGTAATCGTGTGATTTAAAGAATAAAAAGGCACAAGTAATAGGATAAGTTATAATTCATAATGAATTAAATCAAATTCCTTTGAAACAAAATTAATTAATTTAAAATACACTTTCTTATGCAAAACTTTTAAATTTAAATATATAAAATCAAGCTTGAACAAGATTGCTTGAATTTTCATAAGGCGGATTACAGTAAATTTCATTTGTTTTTAAAATAAAGTAAACTTTCTGGTTGGCGACCTAAATATCTTACTTAAAATTAACAAAAAAAAGAAACAAAAATATCTCTGAAAAAAATACACCATTGGTAGATTTTAATAAGAAATATACTGCATTTTTTTAACAACATGAAACAAACATTAAATTTGTTTGAAGAGATCAACATTCAAGGAGATGATCATGGAAGTAAAGAACTCGAGCTTTGCCCTCGTTGTACAGAAATTTGTTTTTATTAAAACAATTTTCACCATCTTTATCTCCCCCATCAATTCAGTAAGTTGAAAACATATAAATATAGTATCTTGTTGGAAAAAGTTTATGCAAAAAAAGTTTTATCAAGCTTAAATGACTAGGACTAAATGTGTATTTCGCACAGATGCTCTTTTTATCGTAAAACTATTTTCAATCAATAATTTTTAAGAAAAAGATAAATTTAAATGAAGGAAGGAAGTGAAGAAAACGGGCTTTGTCCTTAAAATTTTTTATTTTATTTTAAATAACCCATTGCAATAGTTTCAAAATTCAATCTTTTGTAAACAAAAAAATAATGGAATTTTTGTAATCCTTTTTTATATTATTTTTTCTTGCTCGTGAAATAGAGTTGCAGATCACCATTAAACTCTTAGAGCCATTTTGAATAAAAAATAAATTTTTCGAATTTTTCAATGAGAACACACCCCGTTTTCTTCACTTTCATGATTGAGTGCCGCAATTTCTCAAATCTAAAAAGTAAAAAAAAATGTCCACTGATAAATAGCATGGCAGTTTTCATTTGCTGCGAACCGCTAATAAATCGCAGGCACTTGCCTGACTTTGCTCCACCCCGTCTGCGAAACATTTTCGCACACCTTCTGCTGAAATCAGAGCTCGAAGAAGCGCATTTTCACGGAGCATTACATCCTGCCTGGAGCAACCGATATTGCTCTCTGGTGACCCGAAAAGCGAATCGCGGCTCTATTTGCAGCTTCAAGTGAACCAGAATGTATTTTCCTCGTCGATTTCCATCCCCTGCTGAAATGAATAAGGAGATCGAGAAGGCTCAAATCAATTGGTGCGGAGCTCAATGAATTAATTTTCATTCTATATTGTCCTCGGCCCATATTTTAATGGCCGTGGAGAACAATCAATCCGAAAGCCGCTCGCACGTCGTGCTGATTATTCGCACTTCTCGCTAATCAGCCCGTGAGCAGCGACGACAAACAAATTAATATGCAATTCCTTCCTCGTCAGACAAGCTCTCGTCTCTTTGTTTCTTGGAATCGAAAGTCTTTTGTCGACTTCGGAGGAAAATAGAGTAGCTTTATCATCATTTGAGATTGAATAGGCGTGATAATTTATATTTTAATTAGCTCAAGTGTTAATGTGCCTGTTTGCGTTGTAATAACATATGAGAATGCAAATGAGGAAGAATTACAGAACAAAAACACGTCATTTGCATAAAACAGTTACTGTTGCTTTGTAAATGGAAATTATTAGTGGTATTAAATTATTATATCTCTTTTTATCGTGATAATTTGCCATACTCAAATACTGTTCAAATTCAAAAGTAAATATCAATTGGGAACGTTTTGCTACTAAATATTATTTCTCTTTTTTAAATAATAATAATAATAAAACCAGCCAAATCTTAAAAAAGTTGAAATGAAAATTTAACATAAAAGCAAAAAATAAAATGGATTTTTTTTTAAATTGTGAATACAATGGTATTATTATATTCATTTAAAGTTTTAATTTACTTTGTTTAATTGCATTTTAGACCCAAAGAGCAATCGTAATTTAATTTTGAGCACAAATAAATTGATATTACTAACCTCCCGTTGGAAAATTTATTCATCCTAACTTCAAATGATATAGTTTAAGGGATTTTGTCATAAATCTATTAAAATTGGATTAAATTTGTACAAAAAATATTACTAATTCAGCGTATATTTCGTATTTTATAAATTATTTTTATTTTAAGAAAACTAACGCGGCAAGAAGTAACAAAGAAATAAAATCTATTTATGGCTAAAATTAAATTCATAAAATTCCATTCAACTGCATATCATTAAATTCGTCTTTTTATTGATCGCCGCCGAGTCTCAAGAACCGTCTCAAGCCTTATTCAGACATCATTTTATCTCTATCATATTATAATTTTTTCCACCCTGCTCTGGAGCAAGAAAAATTATATCAAACAAAGGCTGCATGAGACATAAAACACATCATGGACGGTCGTTATTATGATACATAATTCCATAAGCAAATGCATCCAGACGCAAATTGCCTCATTACTGCGGAGAAAAATTGCGGTGTAATATTTATAAAGACTCTTTAAATTCCACCGCACGCCCGAGATGCTCTGCTCTTTCTCTCTGCAAAGTTTTGCGCCGGCCTTGATGATGAATCGCACCGACTGTGCGAATAATAAACCAATTATTTCGCGGTCACGCAGCCTCCGCTAAGATAAAAAGGCGATTCATCATCTCCGTGGCGCCGCCCTTAATAAACAAAAAAATTCAAATAAACTAGCAAAGACGTAGAAAAGTAATAAAATAGGCGAACCTTGTGGTTCGAAAATGTTCTCACACCGGAGACCCATCCCTTTTTTGTGTTTCGACATGTAAAAATCAAGCAGACTTATACACGCCCTGTCAACATCACACAAACACACGCATGTGTTCAAGGCAGTCTGCAGTATTCGGCAATATAGTTTTGTAAATTCGTTAATGAACCGTTTCGTGGAACGAAAGCCGCGAGAGCCTTTCATGAATGGGAAAATGAGCGATAAATATTTGCCTTTTACAACAGGTTAATGATATACAAGAAGGTTAAACACCTGTCGATAATTACAGCGTATTTAATTGTCGCAGAAAAAATTTACCTTTAATTAAAAAAAATGGTTTTTGGTAATTATTAAAAAAAGGTTGAAAATTCAAAATCACGAATAAACCTTTTTAAGAGGATTTAACGTGGTTTTAATGAAACTGTGAAAGATAAACTTGGCTT